TGCATCACCCCACAAGGCCAAGGAGGACACCGTCTTGACAAACGTTAGTTTGAAAATGCTGCCACCCAATACGACTGCTTATCTCCAACCCCAAGATGCTGGGATCATCGCGTCCTTCAAGGCGAAGGTCAAACAGCGGCAACTGCAGAACGCCTTGGAGCAGATAAACTGCGTGATGGCTGGTCGCCAGGACAAGCTCTACGAAGTGCCACTGGTCGAAGCCATGGCCTGGGCAAAGGATGCCTGGCACGACGTGACGACAACAACGATTGTAAACTGCTGGTCCAGAACGGGCATCCTTCACAGTGATGCCCGGTCAGAACAGAGTTCGGAACCAGTGACTGCAGCATAATTCTCTATAAAATTGTGACCTCAAAACTACATAAACTGTAGGAACCTGTTTTATTTTGCCGTTTCGAACTGGGGGGGAGATCAGTACCGACCAGGCCCTATGGCACTTTTGTTCACTGTGAGCGTCACCCTTTGATCAGCCTCCCACGCGCCGAGTGGAAGACCCGGGCGTGAGAACAAGTACCGAAGGTACAGTGCTGGTACGGCGTAGGCGATGAAGCGTACAGTCAGTACCCTAATTCACTTTTGCTTTTCCCTTGGAAGACAGCGAGAGTCGCCAGCGATTCACTTGCCGAGTCGAGGACTCGGAAGTGAGAACAGGTGGCTGCCTCACCATCGATACTGGCGGACGCCTTGTCGGTGTCTTCAGCTGGGGCACTTCGAGTGTGTCGAGAGTGAAAGCAGTCGTCGAACAGCACGCACGACGCTGATATCATGCCGCTAACAGCATGTAAGACAAAACGCCTCGGACCAGAGCACCACCGAGCCATGATGCCATGGCACCGTGTAGTTGGTTTGGCTGGACAACGAGATACATGTATGGACGTGAGCCTCACTCGAGCTAACGCAAACTTGTTTATTATTCACGGTGCAAGTACTCTAGCTTTTCCTTCCAAAGCGTCATCCGACGATGCCAGGTTATGCAAGAACAGGGTGGACAGAACAAGCCTCTCTACTGCGCATGCGGGGCCTCTACTTTGGGGTGGGCCAGGTCAGGGCCATTCCACAACGGTACGACGGCCGTCGGGTTGATGTGGATGTGGCTCATGTAGTAATGGCGCTACTTCCAAAAACATTTAGACAACAAGACGGGCTCGACATGCCACCTTAATGTGCGTCATGTCGACTGTGTCGGCAATGCCTGGGAGCTGAAAGATGCGGCGGGCGTGTTGGAGCAGCTACGCACCGCGAGAATCAAGCTCATTACCAAACATGTTTCAAACGATCCTGACAATTCCAAGAGGCTTACGTTGGGGTAGTTTGCACTGATCGACTTGAGGTTGCACTTGAAATGGCCATGGTACACCGGATCGAATCGGACAATGGTCGTGAACAGCCGGACGTCCGCCTACTTCATCAGGACAAATAGCAGCAGTCAAGGCGAGGGGTACGGCACCTGCCGCACGCACCTCGGTGAGCTGGTCGTGGACGAGCCACCTTTTTCCGTCTAGGTGCTTTTCCACGCGATCGAGCGCGGTAAAGAGCACGACCACGTGCTTCTCGTAGGCGTCTTGCTTGGTGGCAAACCCACATTTGTACACGCCGTTGTTGATATCGTGATAGATCCACTCGTTGACGTCATCGATGGCGGGGAGCAGTGCCGCCGGCGCCAGGTCCAGCGTCGGCCGCGTGGCAAACTCGTTAAACGCGGAGTTCAACATGCGAATGATCTCGCTCGACTCGTTGTTCACAATCGTGCGGGTCGTGGTGTCCCACAATATCGGGACCGTGAACCTCCCCGAGTACGTTGGGTCGGCTGTCAAGTACAGCTCGCGCACGTACTTGGCCCCGTTGAACGGATCCAATGCACACCCAGGTGTGTCGTCCGGGCTGCTGAAGTGCCATCCGTCCTTCCCCATCAAGTAGTCCACCGACGTGAACCCGATCACGTCCTCCAAGCCCTTCAACACGCGCACGATCAGCGTGCGGTGGGCCCACGGACACGCCAGCGACACGTAGAGATGATACCGCCCCTTCGCGGCGGGAAACCGGTCCGACCCGATCCATTCGCGGAACGATGACACTTGGCGCTTGAACTCGCCGTCCGCTGGATTTGCCCACTTGTAGATGGGAGCGGCGGCGGCGGCGGGAGCTGGTGTCGTCATGCTGATGGGTGGCCCTTGGTCCAACGATCAATGACCGACCCTGACGATCTTGGCAACGGCCCAGTTGGAAGAAACTTCGTGTTCGGAAGGAAATTCCAAGGGAATTTTCCCAAGGATAATCAGTGAGATTCGTCCCTACTGGCGACTGGCACCGCATTGATCGTGCATGAGGATATTTCCCAATGTTGAGCGTTACGATCACATTGTTGAAATGTCTTGCTGAGCGGACGGCCCCGGTGCTCAATATCCAAGCCAGCGCTGTCTGATGCCAAGTGCAGCCCAGGCTGTCCAATTTGCCTGGCGCAGCCTTTCCTAGGCTACAGCAAGCCAGCAGGCATCGCCAAAGCATTCTGCGGCCCGCGCGTGTAGGCGAGTACGGCGGTACCTCAGCATAACTTTAGGTCGTAGTCGATTCCCCCCAGTCACGATGGGACATCAAGTTAGAGCAATTCGCAGCCACATGGCGCCCCCTGTCCTTCCTACACCTTGGTCATGACGCTGTGGACATTGCGCTCGATTTGGTCGACCCCCAAGAAGGGAACTTGATTGGAGTACGTTTGGTTCATGTCGTCACTGACAGCATGGCTGACTTCGTTCTACAGCAACGAATCTTGGAGGGGAAGCTTCCTGCCTCATCCATTCGGTCCTGGATCAAGTTGTGTGTGTGGGTAGCATTGTGTGATCAATCGTAAAGGGGCTGGTTTATAAGCTGGTGGGGCATTGGCAAGCTAGGGCCACGTGCCAGTACTATATAGTATGCCCCACGATAGCCCTTGGTCACGGCTACATCGTGCACGGCAGTCCTGCGACAAGAGTTGCCGCCATGTCGTCGGCATCCCCTAATCCGCCCCCCGGAAGAATCACTTGAGTCATTCCTGGATCGCAGTGGGCCGTACTGTCGCAGCCCGCACCACGAAACATGGAACAAGTAACTCTACAGCACCTTCATCAGCCCCTAAGTGGTTGCCTAGCCATTGGAGGGTCGCACCGCTGCAGCTCCTCGTGGGGAGGATGGTCGGTTTCGTAATCGTACATGAGCGTTAGATTCGTAACGGACTGCCGCTGCTGGGGTGGCGGCACAACGACCAACGATGGAATCGCTGCTGCAGAGCCTGGCCCAGCCCACGTACGTCGCCATGTCGCCCCCACCGCAATATCGCATATGTGCATAGCTTCACGGTGGATTCCACGACAAAGTTGACATGTTCGGATGACTTTAACCTGCTTTTGGACGCGATCCAAGACGCGGACGAGCCAAACGTTCGCCTCAAGATGGCTCGCTTGGCCTTACTGTGGCTTCCACTGCCCGTAGAGCTCCACCTTCAACTCCCTCAGGTCTCTCACGAGGCGAGGACATCCATAGGAGCTCTCGATGGCACAAGTGGTCGGATGCATCCACATCCTCGCCATGGACATTTGGTCACAAATCCGCAAAGACGTCGCTGTGGCCGTCGGGCGCGTCGTACCAGCATTTCCGTGGGCGACTGTTGAAGCCATTTTGCACGACCTACTCCAAGTGTGCAAGACGCCAGACGAGGACTGGAAGGCGTTGGAAGGCGCGTTTGGCGTCGTCGCCAGCATGCTGAATCAATTCCAAAAGACGTCGCCGTCCGGCTTCCGCCTAGGATCTCGCACGATGCAGTACTTGCCATCGGCGCTGCTCTGCGATTTGAAACCGGTACGCCGCTTGGCTCCTCCACCGACCGATCGTTTGCTCGGCCATGGCCCAACGCCAAACCTGTCTAGGCGGTGTACCTGGCCATGCAGCACACTCAATTGAGTGTCCGAGAACAAGCCACAACTGCAATGATTCGTTACGTCGCCTTGAGTGACGCATTCACCCAAGTACGCGGCCGCGCCCGCTTGGTGGTGTGTCCGCATTTTGCTAACTGGCTGTCGTCGCCAGATCTCGACATTTCAGGAAGTTATGAGCAAGCTGAACTTGTACTCGCCACATGAAGTCTTGCCGGCCGCTCATGCTGAAGGTATGTCATTGCCACTTAGGACGTGTATGACATCACATCCGCCTCCTCAGGGCTCCTGGATGTGGCGGCGCAGTTGGTGCCCCACATTCCGCTGGCCTTCCTGACCAAACATTGGCAAGTCGTCTTTCCAACGTGCGAGAAGTACGTGATGCACGTCGCGTCGACCGTGCGCCAGAAGTCCGCTGGTACGAACGGTCGCTCCAATACTAATCGTGCCTTGACCAGCTCATGTGATGCCATCGGTAGGGCTGATTGGGGCGCTGGCGGAGCTCAGTGTTGACCACGTCGAAGCGATTCCGCTTCTGTCGTCCATTTTGGAATCACTTGCGCTGCCGTGCTCGCAGCACCCGGAAGTGAACCAGCGCGACTTCTTCTGGCAGCGCATGGAAGGGCGTCTCATGGGCATCGAGAGCGTCATGCACGTGCTCGGGACGAATACGTTGCTACATGTGTCGCCAGCCCTGCTGGCCCCCGTGACAAAACCCACGCCTCGGGGCTTCCACTCGTATCGCGAAACGTACGGGCATATCTGCCAAACCAGGCAACAATTTCAGGCAAATGATGCTTGAGCCGTGTCTAGTGTCGATGACCTCATGCATTTCGACCACGTGTACGCGACGTCGTTCGGGTCGCTTGCAACGTGGACGGGTGGTGCCGCCTCGACGCCCCCCAACCATGCCATTTTGACGCACCTGCGCCCCGATCTCGTACACACGACATGGCACGCGTACATTCAACACGCTTACGTGTGCTTTCAATCCCCGCAGTACGAGGTATGATTCATGAAGTAGACGCGGTGTGGTTTTGTCGGCTCAGTGCGGGTCCGCTAGCTCAAGCGCATGGCTGTGCAAACACTGCCTGGTCTTGTCCGGCTAAGTATGTGGTTGTCGGATCCGACCCGTTTCGTGCCAGAATGGCTCGCTGCTGCACGCCACGTGCAGCCGACATTTCTGTGCTTGGTCATCAAATCCCTCGCGCTGCACTCGCGATTCGTGGAGGAGGTGCGTTGTGGATGGATGCCTTGTCGACGCACGGCTCTCGTGAAAACGATCCATCTTGTCCAGACGGCGTCGAGCGCTGCTGGCGATCCATCCACGATCGACCCTTCGTTGGTGAAACCGATATGTACCCAAGCGCACGTCGTGCTCCAGGCGCTCCTACCACGTCAGTCCATCCAACTGTGGCCATCATGAGGCAACACTTAGATGCGAATCGTCTTGGAGTGTAGCGTTGCTGGCGGTGAATTTAACGGAACCCGTGGACAAGGCGCTGGGTATGGCCGTCGTGGAGGCGGGAGCATTGCTCGTTCTTCAGACAACGACAACATCGACCCTCGACAAGCACCATGCGCAGCTCGTACACGCCATTTTGAACGTGCTATGGGGGTATCACTCGAACGAGGCGTCCGTCGATCGTGCCATGAGGTGTCGTCGTCATACGTCGTTTCGTGGGGAAGCTCACAGGGAACGGACGTCGTGGTCTAGCTCGATTACCGTGCGATATTTGCCAGGTCTAGCCCGATTCGACTTGACGCCGGACCAAGCTACGATCTTGATTCGGGTGTCCCTTGCGTGGCTCGCTGCCACAGACAGCGTGAGGCATTCAACCTGTCGACTCCATCGTGTAATCCAACCATGGGTTGACGCCAACCTGGTAGTTGCGGTGGATTGTCGTCGACGGCAGCGAAGCGCGTTGCCACTTGGCGGACGCCCTCGTCCTGCTGGCGCTGCGTGTACGCCGCGATTCGATCGACACGTGTTTCATGCCGTGTTTTCTGTAGTCCAGGCCTGGCCTGTCGTGCGTGTGGAAGGTGGCCGACGTGACCGCAGCGATCATGCCGCTCCTGCGCCACCCCCAAGTACCGCTTCGCCTCTTTTCCAAGGTCGTGCTCCTCGTCACACGAAACACATTCTTTGGACCCCCCAACCGACGCAGTTGACCGGAGCATTGACTCGTCGCGTTCCATTAGCTTCTCGTGCTGGTGTCGGCGGTGGCCGCCTTGAGCCCGGCAGACGAACTGCGCCCGCTCCTGCATGCTCTCCTCGCGCCCGAGGTTGAGTGATCCCCATCGTGACATGAGGGGCTAACCGTCCTGCGTTGTCGCAGATAACTCTCGATTCCGCTCAGCAGTCGGTATCAGGACCTTCGACGGTTTGTGCATCCATGACTCGCACGATGCACCTAGACGTCCCCCGACAAACAAGTTAGGTCTTTAACGAATGGGACGAAGACGACACGCTGACTCGCACGTCGGTGGCATCGGGCGCCGGTGCTCCCCTTGATGCCAAAGCCAAGTGCTTTCATGACTTTTGGAGCGAATTCGACGCCCCGCGTGGGTCGTCCAAGCAACGGCGTTTCTCTGACTTGATCTTTGCCACATGCACGCACGACGAGCGCCGCCGCCTCGAAGCGTACGTGGCGTCGTTGGACCGCTCGGCAACACGTGTAATCTGACGTGGACTGTGCAGGCTGCAACAGCGCTAATGGGCACGGCGCTCTTGACGCGCGTGATGCATAGGCAAGAATGGCTGCACACTTGCATTGCAAAGACTGCATTCGCTTCCGCATCGTGAGAGAAAATATACACATGTGTCTATATTGCGGTCGCCCGACCAATCGCCAAACCACAACTGCGACAACATCATCGCTTCCAGCGTCGTCCGCGGAGCATATTGCAAAAGACGGGAGGGTGTTGGGTATAGGCTGATGGGGGCAGTTGCACACCGCGTTCGCGGTGGAAGGGGTATGCGAGCTCGTCCCGTCTGAAAGGGCGGGGCTTGATTCAAGTCCTGCCCGTGCACACTACCTTTCCCTCTATACTTTTCAATTTTTTGCATTTCAGTAGAGTCAACGACCTGTTGTACCAGGCACGTAGCTGGTTCATTCACGCGCGAGAGCGATTCCCTGCTGCTCCAGCTCTCTTTCGTTCCTTTGAGAACGAGACGACCACCAGGAATCGGGACATGTTTCCTCGACGACATGTCGCGGATCACAAATTCGCGCGAGTGTCGGCAAATTCGTCGTGGAATGTGTAGGGGTTGATACAGAACCGACGGACACACGACGATTCTCGTCGCCCCCGAACGAGTGGACATGAGACTATACCAGCAAACATACGTCTTCGTAATAACGTGAGCCCTGCGGACCAGACCATGTCGCGCCCAGTTCAAGAGCTTGTTGCCGTGGGTTGTGCTGCTGGGCCGCGTTGGAATTCGCGGGATTCGAGTTCTCGAGCGAATTCCACGCGAAACACATTTCCGTCTAGTTAGTACAGACCATCATTCTGTTCGCTTGCCATGCGCTACAACAGCAGAAGATACAAAGCACGGGGAAGGCGGCGGCAATGCAAATGGCGCCGTGTTTCAATCGTGTGCCACAACGACGATCGTTCGAACGGAAGGTACGCATGAACACGGAAACGAACCCGATCTCCTGCGTAGAATACGAGAATCGATGGAGGTCGGCATCACCGACTCGTCGTCCTTGCAAGACGGACGGAATGATGGTGTTTGTACTGACAAGACAGAATTGCATCCAAAAGACTACCAAATGTGGCGACTGCTGGCCACAACAACGACCGTGCCGCACGTGCGGCATGTCAGCATGTGCGCCACGGACATTCGATGGCACAATTACTTTCTGATACACATGCACCAGTACATGGGTATCGTCGCCGCCGTTGTGGCGTTGGCAGCACAGACGAGTGTGGCCCAAGCGTGCACAGCTCGCGGCGAGAACGTGACCGTGTCTGGTTTTGTAATGGACAACTTGTGCATCTCGTTGGGAACGCTCTTGGACAACCCCACGGTGTTGACGCTGAAAGGGCCGGACGTCCACTCGATCCACTGTTTGGTTGATGTGAGGAGCTGTGTCGCATCGAAATACGCGATCCTGGCCCCGCCCGCGAATGGGTCGGATCTCTACTCGGTCAAGTACCAGCTCGGCCAAGACGGCTCGACCACGGCCAAAGCGTACGCGGAAGCAGCACGGGCGCTCGGCGGCAAACAAGGGTTTTCTGTCACAGTCACGGGAATCGACGATGGCACGAACGAACTCCAATGCGTCACCGTGTCGAGGAACGTGGTTGTCGACGGAAAAGCCCTTTCACTGCCGGCGACGTCGATCAACAGTGCAGCGGGACTCGCGGCGGTCGTACCTGTTGCATTTGCTGTGGCCGCCGCCTGGTTGGCATGATAATGATCGAGCAGGTCGCTAGCGAACCATGCCTAACGACTAGTGTAAATGTTTCGGTCACGTGGTCCATTGGCGCCCGTGAGTTGGCCATCCCTTCCATACATGCAAACACTGTCGTCGAATACTCGCCAAGTCGCGAGGACTGTCCACGGAGCAGGGCGGCCCCTCTGCCTCCTCAAACGCCCTCCCCGTCGTCGTCCTCTACGGTTGTTACAATGGAGCACGTCTGAGATCTCAGAAATGGCCGAGGACTGTTGTTTCGAGTGTTGAAGAAGTGGGTTTCACCTGGCCAGCGCTCTCCTATGGCGTGTTCTTCGTCGAGTGATTGGCCCCTCTTTCCCGCGCGACACGGCACCGATGCCATGCTATTGGCCCCACCCGTCCCCATTGACGGCGATTGGGCTGCTCTCTCTCCTTTTTATAGCCGCGGCCGTGAAACTTCTCGTCCTGGGTCGTCGCAGATTGGCCGGGCCCCATATGCTATTGATAGCCCCCGCACACGGAAAGGCCTGTACCATTTTGAAAACGATTGAGCACCAAGACAACGGCCGTGATGTCGGGCTCGCAGGCGGCCATGCAAGTGCTGGCGAACGGCGACATCATCGACTGCGGCCGACTCCCCAACAGCGCCCGCAACACGTTGTACAAGACAGAGCTGTGCAAACACTTTGTTGAAACGGGGACGTGCCGGTATGGCACCAAGTGTCAGTTTGCCCATGGAGAAGACGAGCTGCGGGGCGTGTTGCGCCACCCCAAGTACAAGACCACCAAGTGCAAAGCGTTCTTGTCCACGGGCAAATGCACGTACGGCACGCGATGCCGGTTCATCCACGACCGGTACCCGTCGCCGGAGGAAGAAGGCAGCGACGACGAGGACTCGATGACCCGCGCCGAACAAGACCATTTGAACATGAAGTCGTCTGGCGGCCGCCTCGCCCGTGTCAACCCCCGGCGCATGGGGTCGTTGGTCTTTGAGCCCGAAATCGAAGCGTCATCGCTCAAGTTGCAGCCTCCGTACCACACTGGACTTGTGGCAGACGGCGTGAAGGCCAAACCTCGCGACGGCCCGAGCGACGACGATCGGGGCAACCAAGCAGACGACGTGGGGACGTCCGCGGCGTTCTCGAGACTGTCGATTTTTCAAAAGATCTGCCGCGCCGCCGACTAGAGCGACGGCCGCGGCAGCCTTGAAACGACCCCGTGTAGTATATTTATCAAATCACCCCCTCTTCGTACAATTCACAACGTGTAACATATCTGAACCAGCCTCGCTCGTGCTCATCATGCTTGAGGAATGGTCGAATTTGCCACCGCTCTCTTGACAACGTGTCGATAACAGTGGAGCACCTTTGAATCTCGCATCGGGCCATCATACAGAACGCCCTCTCTCTTGATGCGGAACACTCATCGTTCGTTGCCGCCAGCTGGCTGCATGTGGCACATGCCGTTCGTGGGGAAGTCAGGAGGAGGAACACTCGTAGTAGCGCGCCATCGTTCATCTGGCATCCAAGCACGTTCTGTCACCCAGCGGCGAGTCCCGTCCGCGCTGTCGCCTGCGATTGAAGCTGCCACGCAGGAATCCATCCCACTAGGATGACGTGGACGATCACCAGACACTCCCATGCGCCGCACATACACTGGCGCCATGGATCCATTTCACCAAAATCGGTCCGACCGCCTGTTTCCATCGCGAAGCATAAGACAACACGGTCGACAAGTCGTATGCCCGACTGCCTCCACGGATCGCGGTCGTTCTCGTCCCCAGCAACTCCACTGGATGTGTTGGAAAGGCCTTTGACGCGTGCAGCGATGTTGTAACGAGGGCACGTCGTACGGGCCGGCGGCACGCCTTTTTGAGTTGTCGCTTCGTTGGCAAAGATACAGATCCTGTGAATGGTCGGGGATTGATGGATGCAAAATATCGAGTCTCGAGAGTTTTTCGCCTCCAAAAAAGCAACTTGACACGGAATTTCGCCCGAATTGGTTCCCCCAACTCGAATGATCTCGTCAGGAAGACCACCCTATGCAAGAACCGCAACTTTTCCAAGATACTTTGCCGACCTCCGAGCGCGACGACGCCCATCGTGCGGCCATTTTGCAAAGCGACGTTCGCCGCCAACACTGTTCGCCTGCCGCAAAACATACATGCCCAAGATTGAATCCACCCCACGGACGATGAGCATCCTCAACTGGGGCCGCGCGACCGTCGAGTCGACAAAACGAGACATCGTCACGTTCAATATCCTTGTCCACTCGAACGTGCCGTTGAGCCTTCGATCCACCGGCCCCGACGCGTATGTCGTACGACGACGGTTCCGCCAATTCGCCCAACTCCACCAACAATTAACCCGTGAAGGCTTCATCCTCCCCGACTTGCCCAAGGTCGACGTGATCACCAACTTGCTCATCAAACTCACCCCCGACACGACCCTCGTCGAACGCCAAGAACAATTGCAGCACGTCCTCGACACTGTCAACAGATCCCGCGACATGCAAAGCACCCACGCGTACGCTGCCTTCATCGGGCAACCACCCGAGCTGAAAACAGGTTACACGTCGTTGTCAGAGTACCAGTCGAGTGAGATTGTCGTGACCATAACGCGGGCCAAGTCGGCGTCCGTGCCATGAAGCCTCGTCATCCAACACTCGATTTGCTCTATTTTTCTATTCATGATGATCGTCAAATTATTGTCGCTGAAACCGACATGGAAATACCTATACTGTATTCTGATTGGTTCATCCATATACATACAATTTCCTGATTGGTTTGCTTTAAATATTCAACAAAAAGGAAATGTTAACGAAAATATCCACGACCCCATTTCTAAAGTGGTCATTCACTGTATACTGTATTCTGATTGGTTCAACCATATACATACAGTTTCGTGATTGGTTTGTTATGAATTGGTCCATGAATACATACCGTATTCTGATTGGTTTGTTTAAAATATTCAACAACAAGGAAATGTTAACAAAAAAAAATCCACGACCCCATTTCTACCGTGGTCATCCACACTATTCATGTGAGCTAAGGATCGATGCTTCGGGCCACAACCACCGACGCATCGACATGGGGACTGGCGCGGCGGGAATGAGGGGACGCGTGGCCCGAAAGCCCCCGAGAGGGCCCGAATTCTTCTCCATCGGCGCAGTAGCGTACTGTGTTTACGGTGACGCTACCCACATGACACGGTGGAGCTTGAATGCAGGCACGACGGTGCCACTACACATTTCGCGCGAAGACCGGGCGAAGGGAAAGAATGCCATGCAGAGCGTTTACACTACACGCACTGTTAGTGCGTGTAGTCGCTTGGCGGTGCAGTTTATGACGTAGAGCGCATATCGTCGACACCACCATGTAGAGCGGTGGCGCATCGGCTCAAGCATTGGGGTTGTTCATCTCCGCCGGCCACCAAACTGACCGATTCAGGATGCGATTTTTCTGCAACGTGTTCGATGCGTCGCTCTTCTACATAGTTCCCGACCGAGGTGTGGTCGTCAGTCAAGGTCGCCGGTGTTGTTGCCATGTCGAACGCGTCGGCTCGATTTATGTGCATGGGTTGACGCATGTGTTTGCGCGCTCGCACCGCCGACTGACGCCGCGCAGAAAGGTTTCGGCAAATGGCGCGCAACCAACACCGCAGCGTTCTGGCAGCTTTCGCTTGAACACTCCACACGTCGAGTGGTAGTCCCTGCTCCGAATATCGAGAGGCAGGCAGGCAGGAACTTGAACCGTGGTCGACCTCGTCGAGTGGCTTCGTCGACTCACGCTGGCCGTGGTCGCACTTGTTGTCCGAAGCCAAGACAGAGAATGGTGTGGCAAGGATGCCATCGGCCCGTCGTGGCCCCATTTTTTATAAGTTATAAGTTACACCAGTGGAGGTCGTTGCAAGGGGAAGCGGCGTGCTCGTGTTACGCGTAGCCTTCCCGCGCAAGCAACGCGCCTTTCCCCGGATGAATGCGAATGTCGCTAAGGGACGTATACCGCCACTTGACGTCGGGGCTCGGCGTCCCGACAAACGCCTTGTACGCTGCCGTGGCTTGCATTGCGATGGACCCGCTGATGCAATCGAGCACGTGCTGGAGCTGCGCCTGCCGGTCGCGCAGCGCCTGGTCCGGCACGAGTTTGATGAGTACGTTTGTCCACATGTCAAACGTCGGCATGTCGGGCAGGGCAAACCCGTGGTCGCGCAGGGCTTTGTGCAGCGCGTGGAACTGGGAGAATCGCCGGTGGATCTCGTACACGACGGGGTCTTTGCACGCGAGGTTGGAGTCGCGGACAAGCACGGTGAATTCAATGAACGACGACCGAGACTGGCCCGGCGTGGGTTTCGAATAGCTCCACTTTTTGATCCACATGGTGCGCGCGCCGTCGGCGTAGCAGTTGTTGTTGTCGTCATGAAGGTGGCTCGACGTCGTGGTGCTCGTGGTAGCTGGGCGGCGGCCGTGGTGCGAGGTCGAAGCTCTGCTCATGGTTGCTGCTTTTCGGCTTACTGCAAACTTGGAAGAAACGAGAATCAACGTGGGACACCGGTGCACAACGCGGGGGGGGCGATGCAAGGACGACGCGACTTCTTGGACATGCGTCCCATGGGTTCGAGACGTCTAGTACCAGCGTTTCCAACACGAATCGTCGGTTTTAACCCAACGGAAGCGCAACTTGAAGGCGTTAAACCAATAAAAACGTGATGGCGTCATCGCGCCGGAGTTGTTTGAAACGTGCAAGTGACACATGAACGGGGTGAGATTCGCGGCGGCCCGACGTCGGGATTTGCTGCACGCGATGGAGGCGCGGTGCCATGCAAAGAGAGTAGCGGTTCACGCCAGCGTCGTTTTCAAGCATACCAGGCCACGGGTGGTTTCACGTGGCGGGGCCATGCACTTGGAGCAGCTCGTACCTCGTCGAAAAATAGCCGTGCCGCCGTGGTTTCAGTCAAACTATGCCATTTCAACCGGCCTCCATGCGACATGGTACCCCAAAGGACGCGACGAACCGCGGGAGAGTTTCACGGAGCAGCCAGGGCCTGGGTAGGTTTTCAACCAGGAACCTTACTACTGGTTACCGGACCTTGAACCACCACGGCCTGAGCATAAACAGATCAGCTGACACATGCGTGTCTAATCGACGAATGTGGGGGGTACGGGCCGTTTGGCCTTGGCGCTGGTTGCGCTGGCGTTTGGCGCTCGTCGCACATACGCCAGCATTGTTTCGATCATCTGCTGGGTACCAACGCCGGGTGGATCACGGCGTCGGCGGCGGCTGTTTCAAAAGCCATCATACAAACATCGAGATTGAACATGCACTCTGCGTCCGCCTTTCTGGCTACATAAACCCCCGTTGTTCAAACATACATTCATACAGCAACGTGCCACTGAACCAAGGGATCGGCCACGAAAATGGAACTTTTTGCCAAAGCGACCCTGATCTTCTCTCTGGTCTGCCCGTCGCCTCCACTGCGCGTTGCTGGCCTTGATGACACCGTCTTACCCGCCGCCACTTTCATGAACTCGACCATGTTTTTGCCACGTTTCCTGCCCCCCTGCGTCTGTCTTTACAGCCCGTCGACGCGATAGACAAAAATACGCCCCACTCGGACGAACTCCATCCAACGTCCCTGCCAGAGACACCCAAGAAGAATAGTACCATTCATGAAGCCCATCATAGGTGCTCGTGGACACCGGAACATGGGCAGCGTTGGTGTGCGTGTATGAGCGAATCGCCGCGATTCGGATGTACAACGCAGCAGGCAAAGTTCGAGGGGGTACTGCAACGAGACGTCATCGAGAAAGCCTAGCTTCAGCGGCTGGGGGTTTCCAGTTCGAGGTTGGTGGTCCCTTGACTGTCAAGGGTGGACGAGAGCATGGAGGCCAAGTCGGTTGGCCATGGATACGCAGCGGCACATCTATTTACAGGGTCCCGAGTTTCAAACGACCGAGTCGGATGCGGTTCAATTGGCCTCATATTCCAACCATGATGGGCCAGCGTGCGCAAGTGCACTCGGTCCGCGTCCGGCTCAACATGGAGACGGCGATAAAAGGGATCGTGCACGCTGTCCACGAGCGAATTTTAACTCGAGATCACCTTGTGCACTTGGTTCTCGTCAATTCCGTTGATACATACACGTGGAAATGTCACTCCAGGAACCGCGCCGCCGCCGTCGCTGTCGCGTTGGCATCCTTTGTCGGTACGGAGTGACGACTGCATGGCGCCGCGTTTATATGGAATCCCATGCCACATGCACACAAAAGAGCATCCTGTAACCGGTAGGTTTTATCCGGACGCGATCTTCCCAAAGGTCACAGTTGCATCGCCGAAGGAATATGGCCGACCAACCTCCTGCTGCGGCAACGCCGCTGCCGCCGCAAGGTAGCTTCACGGTCGTGGTGGGCAACGTCCGTGTAGCGAACTCGTCAAACAACCAAGGCGAACCGTCTCCTTCGTTTTGGGCGTCCGTGGATGCCGTGACTGGTTCTGGCGACTCGGCAATCTCGTCCGCGGCGCTCTGGTGGGCGTCTACTCCCGACACTGCAGCGCGAATGAATACGCCTGTGCTGACGGTGCAGCATCAAGCAGTGGAGGACGAGGTTGGTCCAGTCGTTGAGTCGCTGCCGTCGTCGAGTGTTGCAAACCGTTGTCAATCCAACATGTTTGCCCATGTAGGACGACGATCCCGAACCACAGCAGTCGTTTCGATATGCCCAGCCATCGAAATTGTTCACACTCACGGATGCAGCATTGATTCCGCAGCTATGTGCTACTGTCGTGCGTGTTTCACTCTACAAAGGTGCGTCGTTTTGTCCAGTCCCCACGTGGCAGGATGTCGAAATGAATGGCTCGCAGCGTTGTGCACTCATTGCGTGGCCAGGCATCGCGCGCGACAAAGACGTAGACGTGCTAGTAAAGGCTGTCGACGTGCCGTTGCGACCACTCGTCGTGGCTATTCAAGTCGACAAGACCATTGCATTCTCCGACGACGTCAGCGTGCAAGTCGGCGTGTCGTTTGATGTAGCGTTCGCAGAGTACTTCAAAGGCGCCAAAGCACTCTCGGTCGTGTCGCTTACGATCCGCCATCTTCCGCAAGAGTGGAAGCTCGTCGCGAAAGAAGGTGAAGACGTCGTAGTCCTCGCGGCATCCCCCGACACGAACCCTGCGAAATACATGGTAAATCCCCGTCCTTCCCCCTGTTGAATCCACTGCAAAAATCATGTTAACATTGGTATCGCAGGCTACGATCGCGTTGCCAGGTCTTGGCGGCATCAACGGGGCAGAAACCATGCCTAGTGTCACGTTGGCGCTGGAAGGCAAGCTCGAAGTCGACAATTCAAATCGGGCTGCGGACACGGAAGGTGCCACCACCGAGAGCCCCGCCAACGTGGATGGCATGTGGCAAGTGTCGTTGAAACCAACCGACCCCACACAGCTGTGGTTCCTGACCAAGGTGGTACTGCTATCCATTTTACGTGACCACTGAGCCTCGCCCGTTGTGCCTCCTCCAGGACCAGGCAAATCTGTGTCTGGAGTGGATCGAGGGCCAGGCCAAAGCAGCCATAGCTATCCAACGCATTCAACCAGGAACAGATCCATGGACCGCGTCGTCGTCGCTGTCCCTCGCGACAGCCCTCGTGCCAGGAACGGAAATGGTGTGTTCGATCGCCCCATTGGGCCAAGGCGTTGCCCCGACCCGAGAAAGCCTGGAGGAAGCCCTTGCAAAGGCTACGACCAACGACGACAAGAAGAAGGCGCAAGCCGCTTTGAACGATTTCGACAATGTTCTTTCGCGCATCGCGGGTACGAGTCATCGTATACTGGCAATGTCAACACTCAACCGTTGGGTAGGACAAGCTGCGTCGTACGTGAGCGCTGGCGCTACGTGTCATGTCGAGTGTGTGCTCCTTCCCGGTCCGTGGATCCCGGTTCCCCCCGTGCCAACGCCCCCTGCCATGAGCCTCCAGGAGCTCATTCCCCCTCGCGCCCCACTCCCCCCTTTTCCCCAGCGAGACGCCCAAGTGTCGATGCACAAGGAGCTGCGCAAAGTCGTGTCGATGCTGATGAAAGAATACGACAAGTTGTTCCTGCAATCCACGGACGACGACAGAGACGACGACGACGAAGAGGACGAGGTAAATATCGCTTGAACGATAAACCGATTGTGTTGGCTCACACATGTCGAAGTGCCCGCTGTCCAAGGAAGACCGGCGCCAGAAGCTCATATTTCATCTGAATGCCGAAGGCTTGTACTTTGATTTTAAGGAAAAGCTCAAGAAAGCCCTGGTCGCGGTGATTCGAGAAAAGTTTCCGACGCTGGGAAACGCACCTTCGCCAGCGCCCCCCGGCACGACCGCCCTCGGCGCCCTCGCACCCCCTCAACGACAACACAAGGCGGACTTTTACGCGCAGCTGTACACGTACTTGATGGAGGAAGTCCATGTCGTGATGAACGGGGTCTTTCACGGCGCCGAAGTCCACGAGGCACACGATGAGTCCCCGGACGCGATTCGCACCAAACTGGCCACGATGAAGCTGCAAGCGTGGGAGCGAGAGGTGAATGGCCAGCTCAAGAAGGCGACTACGTCCTACACAGATCGCGTCGACCTCGCTTCAAAGTATGAGCGCGATCTCCCCGATCTCCAAGCTCCCGTCTGGTTCGAGTTTGCTCTGTTTTACCTGCGCACGCAAGATTTGACCAAAGGTAAGGCCGGATTGATCGCTGGGGCTGTAGCACTTACCCGACGCAATGGCGTAGCGGGGGAGTGTTTACGGCAATGCCTGGCTATCGATGCAACTCATGTTGGCGCTGTCCAAGCATATGGAGCCCTCTTGTGCCAGAACCGAGAGTTTGACGCGGCCGAGATCGTCCTGAAGAATGCCCTCTTGATATCCCCGGCCCCCAATGCTACCCACCAGGTGCGACGTATTGAATGAACGCCTCCGCTTCAACCATCAAGGCAGGCGCGAACCCACGGCCTTCTCGGTTTGTTTTACTCGATATCCAAAGCAGACGCGACGGGGAACCTTCGCCTGCACGAGCTTATGCAAGCCACCGCGATAACAAAATGCACCGCGACTTTCTCGTCCCCGACAGCCGAGTGCATCGCGATCGCGGCGTACTGCAAAGATCTCGGTCTGTTTTCGCTCGCGCACGATGCGCTAGCCTTGGGGGATGCTGTCACGAAACCCAAGACCGTGCTCAGCACCGCTGCCCTTGCGACGCAAAAGCTTGTCCGGGGCGCCATTGAGCTCCACGTGGGCAACTTTGTACAAGGAAGGCAATGGTGTCAGGATGGACTCGACGTCGACCCCGACTTTGCCGACGGATGGTACGTCCATGGGTTGCTGGCTTCCCGACAAAACGATCTCGCGGTCGCCCTCTCGAGCTATGGGCAAGCCCTCGGCCGCATCGACAAGCTCCATGACATGTATCGGTTGCCGCTATTCTTGCAGCTCGGCGCGCTGTATATGCACCATCAGCAATGGTATGTGGATGGCGTCGATCCCGTGCGTAATGGCGACTGCACCAGGGGTCCCGCGAAAGCTATCTTCCTCCGCGCGTGCCACGAAACCACCGTCGCGTCTGCGTGGCTAGGTGTCGGTGTGCCATCCTCCAAAACTTGAATCGTTGGCTAACATGCGCTGGTGACAGGAGTGGTGTCGGTTCGCCAAGACGACTGGGAAGGCGCCGAAATGGCGCTTGCGGAAGCCAATATTTTGGATCGCACGAATGCAGACGTGTGGGGGTACCTCACCCTCGTATGCCTCAACGGTGCGTGCGTCGGAGGCTGCTTCGATACAGGGCTTGTTTAAAATTGATCGCATGAGGTGTTGAGATCTAAGACGCATTCGGCATGTCTGTAGCGACCCCGCCCCGCCTCAAGGAAGCAGAGCAAGCGCTGGAACAGGCCCTGCGCTACGGCTTGGAGGTGAGAACAACGTGGTGCCCGCCCCCCTGGTTACTTGCCATCCATCCCGCACCTGTCAAGGGACTCATGCCTGTCCTAGAACACCACGTTGCTGCGCGAACTCAGCAATGGGTTTGTTGCACAAGACAAGTTGGAAGTGGCCGAATCTCTGTTGCGCCGGTCGCTCTTGACTGGCGACTCGTCCATCACGCGGAAAACCCTCGCGGACGTCCTGGCAGCTCAAAATTGTGCATCGACTGCGCTGGAACAATACAAGAAGGCCCTGGAAGGGTGCGACGCGATGAGCGAGCGTGCAACGTTGTTGAATCAATGCGCCAACTTGCTCAGCACCCTCGGGCGCCTCGAGGAAGCCAAGGAATATCGCGACATGGCGCGCCACCAGCAAGAAGGAGCCGACAATGAAGCTCTCATGGGGCGGCAGGTCCAACAGCGAGTCGAAGTCGAGTCGTAACATACACATGCATGTATCGCTGCAAACAGGGGGCGTGGTGTTTGCTTCACACCAAGCCCCCTCCGCAGCAGGGGGGCGAGCTCGCCCAAGAGTCTAGACGCCCATAGCAGGGATGCATAACTTGCGCGAGAGAGAACTGACATTGATCTGCAACGTGTTGGAGGGCCGAGTCACGCAAGTTTTGCAGTGCTGCTCTCGCGAAGGATTGTGTACCCGAGAGGCCCGCCAGGGGTCGGACCGAGAAAGGCCGTGAACGCGGGGGTGGCTTGCATTGGGGGCGATGCATGGACGCCGCCCCGAACAACCTGTTGGCCTGTGAGTCGAGTCGGGAGCAAGGGGGAAGAGCTTCATGCGCAGATCAGCCCACAGGTTGGCGTGGGGGAGCGGCGGCAGGCTGAACCCGCGACGGGGCTTGGTGGAGCCACCGAAAGTCCGAGAACCACCGGGAAATGCCCGGGCGGGCATACACCATGCCCAAGTTACCGCACTTGTGGAGCTTCTGGCCCGAGCTGGTTTGGTGCAAGGCATATGCAGCACATCACATCGATGTTGTGCACGGTGTCCAAATTGTTATTAGAGTAAGTCCATGTGGTGATTTCAAGGCGTGTCATCGAGTGAGCTGTTGCGTTTGAGCTATGCGGCGGGTAGAAACCGTAGCCGATGATAAACGGCGCTGCAGTTTACGCAGAAAGCTCGGGGGACTGCGGGGATAAAGCCACGAGCTTACAAGGGGTGGCAATTCATGGTGGATCACGTGAGCCGCGCGTTGGCAACCAGCTCTTAGCCCTGGCAGTCCAGACTCGTCGACGACTCCTCTTTCATGCAAATGAGCTAGGGCTAGCAGCCACCTTTCATCGTTCTGAGACCGTGGCGCCGCTGCATCTGCCAGGACGATCCAAGCCATCGACTTTTCACACTTCCCCCGTGACCACTGACCACCTCAAAGCCCACAACGTCTACCACAGAGGCCGGACCGAACACCGCCCGTGCGCGGTCGGCCTTCACAGGTTGAGGTCATGGAAACCAAGACATGTCCAGCATCCATTTTACTGAATGTCACGTTGAGGTATTGGGGCAAACGTTGTTTCCTGCGCTAAGAAGCCACGACTGCTTGAGGGCGGCGTAGCGGTGGTCGAGTCGCCGCGCCGTGGCGGCGACGGGGAGTTTTTGGAGCTGCGACAGCATCGGTCGCGTCATGGTGGGAATGACTGAATTCGACGGGCGGTGGAATATCGTGTGGAGTTCGGTCTTGTGTTTTAAATGGATGAGGGCGAGTTTGCGTTGGTTGGGGAACGACAGGAGCTTCTCTAGAGTCGATCCATGCTGCGTGGTCGCGGCAGGCGGCGGGGTCGCCCCCTTGGGCACGTTGCTGTCGGTTTTGGACGAGACACTCGACCAGTCGAGTTTTTCAAATCGAACGCGAAATGGCTTGCGCTTCAAGTAGGGATGCGGAGGCTTGGCACGGCCCGCTTGTGTTTGGTTGGTCGCCGTACATTTTGAAGGGGACGTAAATGGCATGCGAGACGGAGACTTGTTCTCCGGGGAAAGCGAGTCCCGCGGTTTGGCGGGCGCTCTAGCCAGCTTGGAGTCGCGGGGGTGATGCGGGGATTTGATGCCCTGGCGCGAAGGTGAACCCGATGCTACGTGTATGTTGCCGTACTTGGCGGGAGGACGTCGTCGATCGGGGCGACGCCAACGTATTGAGGGCATCGATCAACTCGAGCTGCTGGCGAGGTGTCGCAACTCCCGAGATGTCCTCGTCGTATTGGAAAGAAATGCGGACTTCGCCGCGGACGACATCGCCTGGAACCGCTTTCTCGAGCGGGAACCACTGGGTCAATGTCTGGTTTTTCGCGAGCGAGCTCTCCTGTCACCATCACGCGTGAAGGAATGGCTCCAAATGTTTGGTTCGACGTACGAGCAGATCAGCGGGAAGATGGACCTGGCCGACGCATTTCGCGTCCCCGTGGCTGTCGTGCCGGTAGAATTTTACGGTGCAGTGCCAGTCAGTCAGCGCGACTCGGCCAACGTTGTGCGGCTGCCATGACAACACATTGTTGGCATCCCAATTCAACTCGCCCGCGTGGCAGCGGATGTGACCCGTTCTATCCATCGGTGAGGAGGCAGGTCGAATGATGGAAGAGCGCACTCGAGAGTAGTGTAGGGGCGCGTTTGGTGGAATGCACAGATGATGGCATGGAGCGAAGTCCAAGAGGATGCGACCGCCAAGCCGCGGAGGGCCAAGAGCTCGAGAACGAGACCGCGCGTCGCTGGAGCATCTTGGTCCATGCTGTCATCGAGCGAAGCTGGTTGCTGTATGCTGTTACTGATCGAAGAAGGTTGTTGTCGCGAGGTAGGCACTTGGCCCATCGCGTGCAGGGCACACGTGGTGCAAGAGACTGCGTGGGGGTGTTGTTGACGTGCGATAGAATGACTTGGCATAACCTGAATAGATGTGGGATCTACATTTCTGGATTCGACGTACTGGGCGATGGAGACACACTCGTGTATCGACTTGGGAGGTTTCCACTTGCGCCACCAATGCATGATGCAACGACATGCGTCAACACGGCGCTGTGTTTGATGGTTCTTGTAGTTCCGCATCGCTCGCTGGAGAAGACGAGCTGCGTTTTGCCGCAAGACCAATCTTCGCTCAACAGCAATGGCAGCTTGCTTGGTGCTGCGGAGTCGGTCGCGCCTGGCGTCGGCGACCTCAGCGCGAAGCATGCGGTCGAGCGCCATGGCTTTGGAGTGGCAAATAGCCAGCGTCGCCGCATCGGTGTCGTCTGTAGTTGAAGAGAACGAGAGGTCGCGTCGCAAGGGCAAGAATGGCGGCAGGACGCTCGGGCCGCGGATCAGCCTCTCTCGCTTGAACGCTGCGTACGTTGGTGCTTCCACGATCATGGAGCATCCTCGTTTGCGAACGGTCACGCCGTCGTCTCGAACGTGTTTCGAACACCCCGCGCCAGCTGGTTTCCTCGGTTTTTTACTCCGTTTGAAACGCGCCATACAAGCGCGATCGAAACAGCAGACATACCGTCTCGCTTCTACAGCACTAGGCCGCGCATCTTGGTATACGTGTCGCTGTTCGCTCCACCAAGCTCTTCAAGTACACGCGTGTAGCATATCGTTGGCGACATGCAATTCGCTCGGCAACAATCTCGAGGTATGTCGTAGAACCCATCCAGTCATGCAGGCGCTATCCATGGCGCCGATATATATATGTTCCGTATCAATGTTCAACTTGTAGGTGACAAGTACCGGTTGATATCCGGTACTTCGACGGGTATATTTGTACGGAATCGAGTTGCATGCACATCTCTTTTGCATTGGCATAATTCACGCAGGAAATGCAGGTGACACGTAGCATGTGAACAACAGCAATTGTTTGCCTTCATTCCATCTCTGGCACGTACTAGTACGTCAACTGTTTCGGTTGACGCATTAGTACGTGCCAGGGATGGTACGATGCTGCATCGTGGTGCCGCGGGTTCGTCCTCCCGATCGCGTCTCAAATACCCGGTATTTGTTTTTTTACGCCAATTGGTTCGTCCAACATTTTCATGCCCAGCGCAATCGTCGATCAGACTGCCATGGCGGCGACTGGGGGCGTCGCAACGCGGCGCGCCATGCCGCTGACTCGTGCTCACACGACAACTGCCAATTACGCCGACCTTCCGAGGAAGCCAGCCGCTCTGATGGCGTCAATCCAGCGTCAGCTTTCGGTGCCCGCAGTGAGTGTGCCACGCAACGACCTCCCTCAACAACTAGCACCTCCGCATGACGTGCATCATGCAGGACGTGAACAGCCTGACACTGCAGTGGCAAGGCATTCAGCGAGTAGACGATACGCAGAGCCAGTAGCCGTGGACCATGGCTTTCGTGCGATTCTAGAGCGCATCACGTATTGCATCGAGATCATTCAAGGCATTCGGTTGGAATTCGAAGGGATCATGCCTCGACATCCCCCTCCTGAACATAGCGCATCCCATGTTTAATTTATCACGTTCACGACATGCACGTTTGCGTTGTTGTCCTGCTCACGACGGAGGTCGTTGCTGTTGTGCTCGTGTCCCAGCAGCCTCCGTCGTGTTGGAAAGTCCGCGCGCCATTTCGCTATGGCGAAGGCTTGTACACACCATGGATTTCCTTGGTGGCGCGCATCTTGTCGCTGGGCAAACGGTCAGCACACACACATACGTCGTCATCAAGCCGCCATGGCGCTGGAAACTTGTTTGGAACTGTTTGGTCCTTATTTGGTGTTTTCGGCCAAATGGTCGGGAAAGGTTTTGCAAAATTTTCATAGTTTTGGCCAAGTCGACGTGATCCATCCGCCAATCAAAACCGCCAGAGCAAGGACCTGCATTCTCCGATTTCGAAACGGCCACCACATTGCATCAAGTGCGTGTGTTCCTGGATGGCGGATGGCGAAGCAGCGGCGGCGGCACCATTGTCGATGCTGCGGACGTCCTCGTCATCGTCTTTCGACAACCTAGGACTTGGATCTCAACCCGCTCCTCTGACGCCTCGCGTCATCGCGCGTTCGTCCGTCGGTACAGCTTTCTATCTTTACAAGCACCAAGTACGGACAGATCCATTCTCCACCATTCCATTTCCCATCAAACATGCCTTCTCAGCATGAACCGTTAGGTCGGTGGCCACAAACCACTGCTGCGAAGTGCCCCCGGAGAAGTATGCAAACCTGCTCTCCCCCACGAACTACAGTTTTACCAAGGTTTGGAGTCAACGTACCCTCAGCTCATTCCATTCGTTCCTGCATACCTCGGCACGATCGTTGTCGATCTACACCCAAGCAGTGGCGATGACGCTGCAGATCGCACAACTTCCGACATTGCCTCATCCTCTACAGCCTCCAAGTCGGCGTCGCGGCGGCCGAGTCGGTCGTTGGAACACCGAAGCATCAGTTTGATCTTGTGGAACAAGGAACTCGTTCGAGACCACGCGTCCTTTCTTTGTGAATACATTGTTCTTGGCGATCTGACTCAAGGCTACATGCGACCATGCGTCCTTGACATCAAGATGGGCACTCGCCAACACGGTACGTCGTGCTTTCTCCTCCGAGCTCACATTGAATGCTCGATGAAAAGGAGCCGACGCACCGCCAGAGAAGGCCCGAAGTCACGCACTAAAATGTGCTACGACGACGTCGGCGACGTTGGGGTTTCGTTTGTGCGGGATGCAGGTATTGCTTCGTGAGCCCACAAGTTGCATAGCTGTCTCGGGTGACCGAGTCGTGTTCTCTTGAGTAGATCTACAACCAAGCAGAAGGACGATATGTATTGCGCGACAAGCATTGGGGACGCCTTCTTCAACCCGCAGATATTCTCCCCGCCCTTCGCTTTGTAAGTAGATCTGAATCGCAATGCTCCCTACTCGATAAAATTTGATGCGACGATGCATACCTGATGCTTTGCACCTCGTAGTTCCTATCAGCGGGTGATGTGCTTCGAATAAATGCCGTGGTGCAGTTGGCAGCGCGCCTTCGAGACCTTCAGGCAGTTGTATGATATAGTTTGCTTAGTTGCGGCTGTTCCTTACACATGACGTAGATTCAGCACACAAGCGGCATACGTTTCTGGGGCGCATCGTTGTTGCTCGTGTACGAAGGCGACATCACCTCGAGCACGTCAGTGGCGCGGACAGACGCGCGCCTGATTGACTTCGCCAACAGCCACCATGACCCGTCCCTCTCCACACCAGACCATGGCCTATTGCTCGGTCTGGACAACCTCATCGCCCACCTAGATCAAATGAATGTAGCGGCGTCCGTCGACGCTGAGACATGAGACTTCCTAGTGTGAGGGGCTTGATGATATTTGAATTGTGTGACGATAGTTTTCGCAGGAATTAATCCGGTTATAGTATCCGGACGCACGAGCCAATCCCTAAACTCAACGTATTCACCATCATGAGTTTTATATCAAGGTCTTGCGTTGTGGGCACAATTACTTTTAATGTATCTGATTTCAGACTACATTACCTTAAAATGGACTGGCGCATCATTTAACGCAATTGGGCTATCTTTAATGCATACATTTTAATCCGTATACACACTGCAAGTGAGTTTAATCGAATTCCAGGCCCAGTCATCGTACGCAACATCGACAGACTGTCATGCTGCGCCGCACCATTGCTGTCCCCCGCTGCGTTGTGGCGCGGGCATTCCACAGCACGCCGCCCGTTGCTGCCGAGCACATCGTCAAGGTTCCTTCCATGGGCGATTCCATCTCTGAAGGCACTGTCGTTGAGATCAAGAAGCAGATCGGAGAGCACATTCATGCCGACGAAGTCGTGATGGTGCTCGAGACTGACAAGGTCAGTGTCGACGTGATGAGCCCTGTTGCTGGTACCCTCGTCAAGACTCTTGCTTCGCTTGAAGAAGATGTCCAAGTCGGCAAGGACCTCTTTGTTGTCGATGGTGAAGTCGCTGCCACTGTTACGTCGGCGGCTCCAGCCGAAGCGCCAGCTGCTCGCACGCCGACACCGGCCCCCACCCCTCTAGCCACGACTGTTCCTCCAGCATCGTCGTCGCATCATCGCGTGCCTCGTATCCATTTCTTGGGCAAGCGGTCGTTGCTGCATGCTGCGAGCCAAGGCAGCAAATCCAATGCACCATCGACTCCCTCGTCCACGTTGGTCATGCCGCCTTCGTCTAGCGCGTCAGTCGTATCTATTTTCGACGTCCCCGCCCGCTTTGCCCGAAAAGCCATTTCGAAGGACGAAATCGACGCCATCAACCGCGGCCAGGCCTTTGCGTAATCGACCGACATCCAAGGCAGCATCCATGGCCTTGTGATCCCAGGTGAATACTAGTAACAACACCGTTCGGCTTGATTCTACACGTCACATCTCTGCACCCTACCGTGTCGCAAAGCAAATAGTGCATTGAGAGCTAGACTGCCTTTAGTCCGAAGCTGTGCGAGGTAGTGCGAAGCATCTCCACAGTTGTAGTGTCAAAGCACATGTCATCACGGACAAGGCGGCACCCACGTCCTCTGGCAAGTGTCGAGGGAAAACGGACTTGTGTTGCCGAGCCTACTCGCCATGCCGCAACTTTCACACAGCGTGATCGAGTAGTCCGTGCGACTTGATCCAGTCGCACAATCATGTCGCCGCAGCCCTGGTATCGAGGTGAGAGAACAGCGTCACCACAAAAAGTTTGACTGATCACGCCCCCACGAGCGCATGAGCATGTCGCCGCCTCGACTCGTATTCACTCGAAAAGATAGCGTTTTGCTGCTGCTATTGCCATGCCATCGTCGGATGGGCAGCATTCGACGCTAGCGGCCGTGGCAACCAGCGGACGTTTCATCTTGTCGCGACCGTTTTGTTTGGTGTATCTTGAACCGGTGCGGAACATTCCTTGAATTTTGCACGAAAGCAAGCAATTCTCGTCAACACCGGGCCAATACCGTCATCGCCACGTCTTGTCCTCAAGCTGTGCTATCCCGTTTCACGATACCAACACAGATTCGAGTCCCCGGTGTCAAGGGCGAAGATAGTGTGAGCCCGCTTGACTGACTCCTGCAGCACGTGTCATGCAATAACCAAGCCAGTGTTTCCCCAGGCTGCCCTGGTCTACCCGCCTACGAGGCGGCTTTCCATCAACCGTGTTTGTCTTGATTCCGACTGTCGGCGTTCAGGTTGACTGTCGTACACCACGTGAAAGGCGATGCAACCGTAACGAGCCACGGCACCTGGGCAGCCGCGCCAAGAGTCGCTCGACCAGAAAATCGACAGATACCAACCACGACGTTCGATACCAATACCCAAGACAGGACGTCCGTGGGGCAGCACCCACATCGTTGCGGCGGCAAGGTTGCACCATCTTATCGCTTCTCGACGAGACAGGGAAGATATCTTGGTCGAGCATTCTCCAATTTGAAACACACTCGCGAGGCTATCGCCTTGTTACACTCGTGCTTGAAACAGTATGTACGCATTCCACTGTGGCGCGCCGGCTGTGACGAACCCGTTCGCCGACGGCCATTTCACCGCGCGGCTGGTCTCACAGCGCCAGCATGTGGTCCCAAACCCCGTGGACGCAGCACCACGAACGCAGCGCGTGTTCGTGGACTCGACGCGCCATCGTGTCGCTTGCACGGCGATCTATCGTCCCGGCAAAGACACGACGGCATGGCGGTTTCGTCGCCGTTGCACGTTGAACTTCAACTTGGACGGAGCTTCAAGTACCCGACGGACGGACAATCTGTCCGATGGCCGGGCACGTCGTGTGGCGTCGACGTCGATCGGTCGAGTTGTTGTTCAAGGGCTGGTTGGACATGGGTGGCGGACGTGCTGCTATTGTTCGACAGCGGCACGCGCTTGGTTTCTCGCCGCGGGACGCGTTGCGATGTCTGCGTGCAGTATACCGTACGTTCCGGCAAACGTGGGATTGGGAGCTGGTTTCGAGCCCGTCGTGGAAGCCAAACGTGTAATGCGCGCGACGTCTCCTCGACGATTCTACACTCGCTTGACATGGGCAGCGTCATCGTCGACCGCCTCGGTCCCTCTAACACGACTCGTGCACTGATGAACCAGCTTGAAATCCACGCAGCCAGCCACAGTGTTGTTGTTGTTCAGGTGCATCGCGGCGACGGTTCCTGGCTCGTCCCACTTGGATTTTATTCGCTTATATCAATATAATTCTGCCCCAAGGTACTGGCGACGGTTGCGGCGAAAGTAGACTTGAACAAGGGAATATTTTGCTTACATGGAATGAAAGCGCCATCTGGACCAGTGACACGCCAGCCATGGCGATGAATCGACTCTGTGGACATGCGGCACGGGCGAGGGGCTGAAGTGGACGACGGCACGTCGGAGGAGTTGGCTGCAGCACGCAGGGACGGACGTCTTGAGAAGGCATAGAGTGCCACCCTACTTGTGGATGCAGCTTGGTTGGCTGTGCGACAGGTCGCGATAGGTGTGGGTGTTGACGTGACAGGGATGTGTCACCATCGCGCTTCGACGCTACCTGAATATGGAAGGAAACGCTGGCCCAAGAAGGCACGCAGGTTTGCGCCGATGGCGAGGACATGCGTGGGGGCCAAGTAGACCAGAGATGAAGAGGTGGGTGCAATCATTGGTCGTGTTAAATAGGAAGATGACCGTCGATACAATAGCACCTCGCGCGAGAAGCGGTCGTCAAACCGAACTCGACGTACTGCCGATGCCCTGTGAGTGGGCTTGTGGGTAGTTGAGGTGTGCCTTGTGGTTAAATAATGCATTCGCGGGACAGGCATCACAGCGTACGGCTTGTGACGTCTTCTTGGACAGGGTGGTCTTTCTCAATCCATGCGTGTGTGAACAACTCGAGGAGCTCAAGCTGCATGGAATCGGGCTGGTCCTTTGTTGGTGTCGACGGGACAAAGGGCAAGACGGACGAGATGCTGGACGAGCACAGGACATCTTCAATCGCTGCGGTCTCGACAATCGGTAAGCTCAACGTCATGCAATCGTACGCATGGAGCCATTGCTTTCGAGTCGTGTCTCGGGTCGTCGGGCACGACGACAAGCTGCGATATCGCGGAGGAATTGTGAGGCGCCGTTTCGCACACACCGCCGACATCATGGCAGTGTCGGTCGCTTCCAGTGCGGCCAAGTCCATGCAGCTATACGATCGCTTCATGGCAGTCGCGGCGCTGCGTTTCATGCGGGTCTGGGTGAGAAAATGGGAAAATAACCCAACGCGGGCGCCATGTAATAAAATAAGCCGAGTTTGTAACATGTTGACAATATAAATGCACGGTGGGACGAAGCTGCAACCTGAAGTCACTTACTTTTTGTATGAAATACAATTCCTGAATCACATGAGGTTGCGTCATGAAATTCAATTCCCCATACAAACATCCTGTTCTACATGTATATTTTTAAACTCATGCAGTTGAAGTTGCATCGACCATGCCACGTGTGATTGGGCAGCTGCATGTGACAGATCCAATCGCACGTTTGAGGGGTTTCTCGGACTTAACCGAGTTCACGCGTGGCCGTTGACGGAAGACCACACGTGCTGTCGAGTCGCTCGGCGAGCACGTCGGCGCTCTCGTGGCGGAGTTGCTTCCGACGGATGTCGTCGTCGTGGAAACGCGGCGTGTCGGTGCACCACGACACGACTGGATGTATTGTACCCGACTGTCGGGTAGATTCTCCGCGAACGTTACGATCTGAGCACGGCGAAACGAGGAAATGCCTTGGACGAGATCTCCGGATGATACCTCGTCTAGACGAGAACGAAGACCGCGTGATTCATTGCTACGGGCGCTCGACCACGGCGTGTGTGAAGTTGCAAAGATAGTGTATGACATAGCACAACGTGGACGATTGTGGTTTCGATGTGCGATTTGTGGGGAAGTTGTCGGTGGGGTTGCAACATTATCCGGATTTCACTCGAAACAAGGGATTTCCTCGACTCGGGCGAGAAGTGCAAGTTGAAGTCAAGCGCCGTGTGGATGGTCATACTATACGTGGCACGACGATGGCTCGACTACTCAGACGGAGGTTGAAGTTGTGGTTGCCGTCGGGTTGGCCCAGAGACAATAAGACATGGAGAGCAGCTGTGGAGACAAGTGCGACGTCTCAGCGGAGGTTGCCCGTTCGATCGTTGGTCGACTAGGCTATTCACACGCCTGAGCGGATGGTGGAGGGGGCGGGTCCTGGCCATGGCGGTTGGCCATCGACGCAAGGGACTTTTGCCGCGACATCCGAATGTCCTTGAACAACGCTTCGACCGCCTATGAGTCGCCGTGAAGCAGTCCGTGATAAGCACGCTAGCAACGATAGTACGTCGGTAAATGTGATGCAGTCGTGCTCGTGGGGGTCGACTTGCTGGATGATTTGGGCGATCTCGTCTTGAGTCTACAAGCAAGTCAGAGCAATCGCAGCGTCCAGTCATGGGTCCAGAACAACCTTGTACGGTGTCAAATTCAACATCACATCGATCAAGTCGCGCTACGACAAGACAGTGCTGCCATGACGACAAGCCCCCTGCATGTAGCACCGCAGCTTACGCGCTTGAGGATGCCAACTCGGTCGACGTCAACGCCTTGGAACTGGCGGCTGAACTCCGTGAGCAAGTTGAGTCGTCCCTGGAGCTGGTAGTTGAGCAGGATCTACAAGTTACAATTGATTCGACCAACTCCCCGACTTGTCAAATCGAGAAGCGGGTACCTTTCGAAACACTTGAAAGTCGATGCCCGCGACACCCGTTTGCCTGCTTCGGGCGTCGATGATAGCCACGAGCTCGGCTGCCTACGTGCACCAGTGAATAGTATTGCCCCTGCACAATACGCAGTGTTCTTACGTCGCACGCATCGTACATGTACGTGACCACCGACTGCCATTCTTCGCGGCTCAAGTGCGTGGCCGACGTGAGTTTGGCATGCAAAAGTTGAGTAATCGTTCCTAGACCACCCCGTCCCGCCGTGAATTCCGTGTGTGCTGGCCAACCAACCTTCCGATTTGCGGGGATGCATCCCTCGAAGATGCGCCCGTAGCAGCGCAACGACCGTATCTTCCAGCTTTTGCTTGAGGCGCAGGTACCCTTCGTCGATCTCGTTCCGTACCAAGTGGAGGAACGTTGCAACGTCACAGTCGACCGACCCATACCGCGCGCAGCCCTGCGAACGAATGATGTCGTCGAATGGGTCAACCAAAAAACATGACGCCACCTTCATGATCGCGCTCGCGTACTCGACGATCAGGGCATGTAAACCAAACCGCTGGTTCAGGTACGTGTACATGTGCTGCTCCATCGTTTCTTTGGGGGCGCGGGCGTCGTAATTCATTTGGTCGAACTTGCGCTTGGACGCGTAGATGGCTTCGATGAGGTCTTTGAGCTGCTTGAGACTCAAGTTTTTGACCGCTGCCGTGTTGGTCCCGACGATCGACGGGGGCGCGTTTACTCCGGTCGGTGGTTTTCCCGGGGGATTTGTAGACTTGGTCACAGTCGACGCTGTCGCGCGCTGGGGAATAATACTCGATGCACGGATCGATTCCTTGGGTGGGCTCGCTCGGTTTGGCGACGGCGGTAGTTGGGCGGCAGTGGATTTGGCAGCAGCGAGATCCTTTCGGAGCTTGCGAATCTCGGCCTCCAGTTGGGTCGTCCTCCGCTGCTCGTTCGCGAGGGCTTGTGCCCCGCGTTGAACGTCAGCCTCTAGCCCTTCCGCAACTTCGAGCAACTGCTTGATCTGAGTTGAATCCATCGTTGGCTAGAATGCGCTTTGAATCGGTGACCTCGACATACATGGACGTACCGTGGGTGGGGGGGGAGGAGCTTGCACCTCCCGCAGGAGCTGTTGTGATAATGTATGCAATCCAGTCACAATGTCTTGCTGCAGAACATTCAGCGTTTGGAAAGCTAGCCCAAGCTCCGGCGCGCATTCGCCAGCCTTTTGCGTCGCGTAGCTCGAGCACGCGGCCACAATTTTGAATTTGGCCAGGAGGACGGCCGCTGTCGTCTGATGTTCAGGATGTGCGGTCGGGGAAATATCTACATCAAGCAGTCAGGGCCTCGAGTTGCTGCGGCTCACGAGCTAGTCAACGTACGTTGCAGATCATGCTTGAGGGACATACCAACCAGAGCAACTTGTTGCTCAAACATGCGCGACACTCGCTGGTCTTCTTCGGAGCCGGGTGGAACAGGGATGCCGATGCCCTTGAGCACATGCAGAATACTCGCAACGTTTTGTACATGGTCCTACAAATCGTAGGAGTCAATGGAGGTGGAGCGCAGAGGTGCAGCTGCCTAGGCCAGGAATCAAAAGAGGGGTGGGCGGGGCATACCGTCGGCAGGGGGGAGTCGCCGGGCGCTGTAAACTGCAGAGTGGGGGTCGCCGTGTTGCTCTGCCGTCGTTGTTCGGGCTGCGACGACGAAAACGACAGCGGCATGGCATTTAAAATACGAAGCTTTGGAAGTGCAGCGAGGATCAGTGGCTCTTCGGTTGCCGGATCGACCATCGTGATGCCGAGGCTCTTCAAAGATGGCAACAACTTGAGCACTGGAAGCACGCGGTGCAATGCCCCAAGAGGGTTGTTGGACACGTCGAGAGCCACGAGGCGCGAGAGCTCGGCCAACTCGATCGGCAGTTCGGTCAGCTGGTTGTGGCTCACATCTAAGTGCCGAAGCTCCTTGAATTGCTTGAGGAGGGGGAGCTCGACGTCCAGGGACCGCAAGTCGGCCCCCTGAAGGTTGATCTCCTCCGTGTCAGGCTTGCTCAAGTACAAGTCGCTGAGGATCTCCATCCGTCGTGGGTGTACGTTGGCGAGATGCAGCGGTTTCAAAACGAAGGGCCATGGCGCCCCCAAAAAGCAACACAATTGCATTGGTCGAGTGTTCTGTAGAGGTCGCAACAAACTATCCCAACTGCCATGTCGCAGTGGCGGACAGATCACGAGCTGCTTGCCCCCGACCTGCTAGCAGTGTAGGGGAATGCCGTGTCCTGGAGCGGAGCTGCAGCAGGGTAGACTTGATGCCTATTGACCCCACATTGAGTTGCACAACGTACACACACGGTCAAGAAGCAAGTTGTGCACTGGACTCGAGTCAACTCAGGCTCGACCGTTCCCGTGGAAAAACCACAAGATCTCAGCACCTGAGCGTCGTGCGGTCATGGTACTGGGACGGACTGATGACCTGTCGAGTCGAATATCCGATTGAAGGCGTCGAGATGTCTGGATGAATGGCTAGCTGCCTACCAACCGTAAAAGTTCCTTCGCCCGAGTCCACGGGGGAAGGAATACAGCGGGCCACGCCTTGTGTCCATCGAAATCACTGTCCCAAGCACGACTCGTCGTGCGGGGAAAGCAATCCATACATGCCTCGGTTAGACTTGAAGGATGATAAAGGTGGCATGCAATCCTACTGCAGCAACAAACTACGATGGCCAAGAACTCGACGCCAGCTGGACGAACAAACACGCGTCAGCGCTGTCATCAACTTTGGCACTCAGCGTCGCCAGCGACCAATTGCGACTTTTGTGGAGAATGAAAAGGACCCCCTTGTCGTTGGGATGGACGGCGTGTGGCTCACCGGCATGGGTCGTTACAGCCTTGTTCATTGGGGCGTCCCGCAGATTTAGCTTCAAAATCTTCACCGGCATCACATGCGTTTCTTCGCAGAGCGGGGGCGTGTGCCGTGTGGCAACCACAGAGCCAAAGCCACCACGATGGACTCCCCCCCCGCAACCCCTTCTTTCGTCATGCTGCATTTGTGTCGACATTCGATCGGGGGGGTGCCATGACTCGACACACCAGCGATTCGACACATCCGGTGTAGCTGGATTATTTTTGGTCGCGGGAAGAGACTGGCCAAGACTACTCTCAGCCCGCCGCACAGGGTGTTTTCCGAATGAAACGGAAGCACCGCTGCGGGAATACCCCAAGCATGGAGCACATTCTCCGCGGCAGCGAAAACCAGTCGAGGGCGTGGGCTTCCGCAGTCGCGACCACGACATCCTCGTTGGTCAAGTCAACTCGCTACGAACGAGGCGGCCGTGGAGTGGGCAAGAGGCTGGTCCGTGCGACGATGACGGTCCTCTCAGGTCAGGTCGTTTCGGGAGGTTTCCAAATCTTGTGGCAGCGCTTCCACACGAAACGAAGCGGTATTCAACGTCCTCACGAGCGCGCGATTTTCTTCCCTAATGCTAGTTGTACAGTGTCCAAGTCGTCGTGCTGTCAAAACTGAGCACACAACAAAAACATACTGCGTGCTGGATCGCAAACCCCATCGACGCCGCCAAATGGAGCGCAACGGCGTCCCCCCCTGCGACTTTACCTAACGGCGTCGTCGACCACCGAAGCGGAGATAGCTAATCCTAGGAGTTGTGTGCAGGAGCCCAGCCCACGACAGGAGGATTACGGAAAGGCTCGTGGTGCGTGTGAAAAAAACTTTGTCACATCGCGGCGACAGTCGTCATGGGCATGTCGTCGGAGCTGGCATCTTGTGCGGGACGACGATATATTCTTGGCACGGGACAAGAATATACGCCAGGTGAAACCAACCGTCCCCACTCGTCGATTGTCTTTGGCAGTCGCAATCGACAAGCCACCGCCGCCGCCGATCGTCCAGTACGCCGTTCAGGTAGCTGCTGGAAGGGGACACATTCCACGATGACGGAAGTCGTGCCCTTCCACGACGACGACAGCCACCGCCGCCCTTCCGAAACAGGCATCCCAACCTCGGGCAAGTCTCACGTCGGCCTCGTCGGGGGGCTCCTCTACCTCGTCGGATCCCTTTGCCTCAGTGCCGTGTACTTGACCGAGCTGAATCCGAGCGTCTCCAACGATTACTGGTGGTCTGACTTTAACACGACGGGGCTCCAAACGTTTCTAGGAGACATGTACAATGCTCAGTTGAGCCAAGGCCGCGTCGGGCCGCTTCCGCTCTTCGACGGGACTGCCTACTCGACGAAATCGTACGCGGACGCGAGCGGCAGTCGCATCGAGTGGAGTGCCTCGTACGCGCGCACCCTCTTGTTGGACAACATTCCGTTGGAGCACGCCGTCCGGTCCCTTCGCCTCGGCTCGATCACGAGTAACATCTTGATGGGGTCGTTCTACTGCTGGGTCGATCTCGACCGCAAGTTTGCGCTGTCCATGACGCCCAAGCGCCAAGCACGGTGCGAAGCGTCGAAAACGACCAACGCAGCCGTCTACTTCGAACCGTTGGTGCGGAATGGCCCTGCCAACGACATTTTGACGTCGTCGTACAGCGGGATGCTCAACGCGACCATGTTGCAGACACTTGGGCGCACCGACGACGGCAAGCAGTGGGTCGACGCGATACTTGCCCACAAACGGGTCGCTCTCGACGATGAGGTTGCGTACTGGCGACGCCACGGCCTCGAGTACTGGCGAACGGGCATGCAGAATCTGAACCACGACGGCATCGACGACTCGATTCAGATCCAGAATGCTCTCGGGTACAAACAGACCGTCCGCATCAAGAAAAGCTCAACGTATGGGCGCGGCCTCGGCAAGTGGACGACGCTGTTTGGGTACTGTGGGTTTTGGAACGTCATGGACATTAGCCAGTCGATCGGAGCCAGCGTCATCTTGACGGACCCGGACAGCGTCTTCAATATGGGCATTGAATGGGATGTTGACGTGCTGGACCTCCCCCCCACGCCGGGGGTTCGCCTCGTTCGGCAGCACATTGGCCCGTTCCTGTCGTTGGATATGATGCTTGTGTCGAAGCCCCCCACGTTGTCGTCCGTCTTGCGCCCCTTCCAAACCAAACTGGGCGAGCATTTGAAAACGAGAGCGATTCCACCCGCCGCCGTGCTGGATGTCGTTCCCGCGACGTGGATCGCCGCAGGTCGCGAGTTTTACGGCGGCAGCCCCGTGTGTCCGTTGGGGAGCCCCCAGCCGTTCATTCAAGAGTCGTTCGGGTACTATGCTGATTGCACGGCCCAAGCTCGTCACACGGTCGAGGTGACGCTCGAAGCGACGCTGTTTGCTCTGCAGTTGCTTCCCCCGCTCTCTACGGACATGGCAGCATCCATTTGTAACTTGTGCCCCACGACCAGTGGCGAGTGCCTGGAAATGTTGCGCCAAGTGTCCGTTGGCGAGGTGGATGCGCTTGCGACGTCTTCCATGTCGTCTGCAAAGGCAAGCTCGCTTGCCGCAGCCGCGGCCATCAACATTCAGTTTATGCAGATGGCGTCGCAAAACGGATCCGAGCTGCTGCTGCTGCAGCCGTTGGTACCTGTGCATCCGTCCGCTGACCCGTGGACGTTTTTTGGCCTGGTCATGATCTACGACTGGCTACAGGACGGCCGCGAAGTGTACAACTTTGAAGGCGACCAAGGCAACTTGACGCTCATCTCGCAATCGAATCCGCCCTTCTCGATGGTGGCCAACCCCGGGGAACTCCCTCAAAACGCATGCAACTACATTCGGATCCTCACCATCTACGTGAGTTTCAACTTGATTGGGGTTGGCACGATCGTCATGGTGTACGCCGCCTGGTCGCGCTGTCACTTTCGAGGGGCGAATTTGCTCAAATTCAACCGCGTCGTCGGGTCCGTGTGGGTTGGTCGGCCAATGCTGTTCCTTCGTGGCATGACCGCGCTCATCGTGCTCAGCACGTCGCCGGTGGAGTTTGTCGCTGTGGGTCGTGTGTCCAGCCTATACATGAACCCCCGATCTATCTTTTCATCGGGGCTCTTTGCGGGAGAAGCGGCGTGGGTAACGTACGTCGTCCAAGATGTGTTCCTTCCGGTGATCGGCCCTCGGGACGTGCTGGTCGCCGTGGGCTCGATTGCAACGTGGGTTGTCCTGTTTGTCATCGACGTCGTGTCCCCGCTCCAAGCGGTCGCGGCGATTCAACCAACGTGCTCGATCGGTCGCCTCGGGTTGCAAATTGTGTGCGAGAGCGGCATGGTCGAAATTGGGAGCATGGCTCGTTTGGTTGTACTCGTGGGGATTGCCGCGGGCACCCCACTCGTGACGTTGGCGCTGTCGAAGCTGCGGTCAATGTGTCGCGCAAGGACGGATCGGACGGCGGCCGAGAGGACGTTGCACTTGGAGGGCAATCAAGTCGTGATTCCCGCGGCCGCGGTCACGTTCTTGTCGGTGGGGGCAAAGCCCGACGCTGTGGCGCTCGTCATGGCAGGGATGCTTCCGATTCGAGACTGGGTGTTTGACATCAAGTTGTGGCGTTGGTTCCACCTGGACCCGGTCGAGAGCGACCACTTTGACGACCCGACCGACAACGACGAACGCAAGCTCGCGAGCTTTCACGCCACAAACAAGTCCATGTTGGGCAGGGCGAGTCGGTACGGCGTCGCGTTGGCCGGATTTGGATACATGGTCGCGACCGTGTTTGCGAGTTATAGCTATCTCGCCCTGACCGAGTACACGATGGCCAACGACTTTTGGTGGGAAGACTTCAACTCGACGGGCCACCAGTCGTTCGTGACAGCCTGGTTCAACCGCCATCTCCAGTCGTTCCAAACGCTTGCCGACACGCATGTCAACGAGCACGGGAACGGCGACACGGAGGCCTATTACGGGGGCAATATGACGCAAATGTCGATCGATTCGCAGTACGCGTCGGTCCTTCAAGACGAAGTGAACTCGCTGCACGCGGTCGTCGCGGGGCTGCGCAACATGGACACGTGCCTCTTGCCGTGGATCGCGTCGTCGTACTGCTACGTGGATTTCGGAAAGTCGTGGGAAATGGCCGTGTCCGTGAACCGGCAACAGCGATGCAAACAAGACACCACCAACGGCGCAGTGTACCTCGAGTCGGTCCTGCGCAACGCAAAATGGACCGACTTGGACGCGTGTTGGGGGACCGCGTTGAACATTGCCGTTTTCGACCACGTCCGAACAACGCCTGGTGGCCGGCAGTGGCTAGAGCAAATCCGAGCCAACGCCGTGTCCGTCGCCGAAGAGGTTGACGTGTGGAGATCCCACGGCATTGCCGAGTTTACGACCCAGTGGCAAAACTACAAGAAGATGGGGGTCGTCGAATCCGCGGCGATTCAAAACGCGTTTGGGTTGGCGTACGCGATCACGATCAAAAAGCAGGAAAAGGCGTTCCAGCTGCCGTTGCCAACGTCGTTCCGCCTCCAGTGGCCGCTGGCCAACTTGCTCGACGCCGTCGCAGCCAACTCGTCCGGCATTGGCGGCATGAGCTTGGTGCGGTCCAGTCCCCGATATGGTCTGCAAAACGTCACGATCGAGCAACTCTTGATCCAGAATGGCACGATTTCGTCGCCGTGGGGCCAAGGCCTGGCCGTGTCGCGGGAGACGTTGGGTCCATTTGGGACGACCACACTGAAGCGACTGACGCCGCCGCGTGAACTCAAAACCTTGTTGTACCAACTCCGGTCGGCGATCATGCACGTCATCGGAACAAACATGTCTGCCCTGGCCGAGTACGCGTCCTTAGGGGTGGTCGGATCGTGGTACCCGTCGCCGCTACCGTGGAAGCAACTGCGAAAAGTCGGCGGGAGTTTAATGTGTGAAAACACGGGCGATGTCGGGAGTCAGATTGCCCTCGGGTTTATGGCGGACGGAACGTGTGGCACCCAAACCATCGATCAAGTGTACGCGACAAAAGTGATGACCACCTTGGCCGTCGCCGCCATGGGGCCACAGACGCCGGCCTCGTTGGCCACCACTTGCATGTCCGAGTCGACCAACTACGTCAAGTGCACAGCGGTTCTGCCGGCCACGTACAAGTTTCTCGTGAACGCCGTGCCCGAGGACAAACGCCGCGAGCTGGCCGACCTGGCAGTGTCGACAAGACGTGCCATGCTGTCGCGCTTCAGCCCGCAGCTCATCCAGCTGACACAGAATCGGTCGGTCACACCGAGGCGAACGTATTTGGAGAGCCTCAGTCTCCTCGACGCCGACTCGTTCGAGTTCTTTGGATGGCTCTTCATGTTTGGCTGGGTGTCTGCGCACCGCGAGCTCGTCGTGTTTCAAGGCGACAGCTCGACCAAACCGCCGATCGCGATCATGTCGGGTGAAGCTCTGCCGGCGTTTTACCTCTCGAATCCCCAAGAAATCCCGCTCAACGTTGCGTTTTACATCCGGCGCGCCATGCAATACATCACGTTGGTGTTGCTGGGCGTGGCGGTCTGCGTTTGCTTTAGCATTGTGGCCAACCGTGGGTACGTCGAAGGGCTCAACATGTTTGAGTTCAATCGGGTGGCTGGCATTGTCTGGATTGGTCGCCCGCTCATTTTGCTCCGGGGGATCACAGCCATCTGCATCCTGTCCACGTCGCGCCTGGAGCTCCGTCGACCTGGCAACCTCGTCTACACCAACCTTTTCACGGTCGCGCCAGACGTCGTTACGACCTTCCTCTCGTCCGGCGAAATGGGCTGGTTTGTCTACATTCTGAACGACCTCTTCTCGGTTATCACGTCCGATTACACGACACAGTACGCATGGAAGGCGAGCACGACGACGTGGCTTGTCGCGGCCGTGTGGAGTCTGGTCGCGCCCGTAAGCCACGTCGTTCGCATTGACCGGCAGTGCACGTTAACCGCTGTGGACTTTGCCATGACGTGCCAAAGCGGGACGTTTGAAATTGGTCGGTTCGACCGGTTTGTCGGGCTCCTGATCCTGGCGGTTGTGTGCTGTGTCTTCTGGTACGTGGTCGATCGATGTCGCGCCGCCACCAAACGCCACGCCGGCACGTCGCGGTATTCGCTTCTCCTGCATGCGTCGGCGCAGCACCAATTTGACCGACGCCACTGGGAGCTCCACCACGTGTACTACCTCGATCAAGCGTCCGCCGTCCTTAACGGCATCATTGCGTTTCGAACGTCGCGCGGCAAGTTTGCCATGATGGATATCAAGACGTGGCGGGTGTTTAGGGTCGACAGGTCCAAGCAAACCATTGCGTTGCCGCCAGCGCTGACCAACGCAATCCCGCTCGTCGAGTAGGTAGTATAGATGAAGACATGTGCGCTGCCGCCGAGGTGCACGACGCTCGAAACATGCACAGGATAGCGCATTTGCCGAATCCATAACCACACCATCCATATACACACTACCAGACAGTGCAGGTGCAGCGAAGACGTCCACGGTGCCAACCGCCCTTTGAAACGGACCGACGAACTACACATCGCCAACTACGTGGGCATGGTCTGCGAGGATGGCCAATGCCATGTCATGTGGTCTGCGTTATCTCTTTGACCGGCGAAAGTACTATGACATGGGCAATCTCGTGAGGGCCATCGCGTGGGGGGGGGCAGACCAGGGAACGAACTCGATTCGGCTCAAAAGGCCGTGGACGCTCGGCGGATCCCGCCAGCGCAAACTTTCGTGGCATGCACGATAGGTTGTCACGATCGACTGTACGATTCGCGAAAGTTCATCGGGCGGCCACACGATATTAACCTCGATGTCGAGGATCGTGCTGCGTTTGTAAGCCCCTGGATAACTCCATTTCCTACGTCCTTCTCCCTTCAGATACGACGTTTACGCCCCAGCTACGACTGCACCCCCACGTAGGAAGTACAACCTGGCTCTCGTCTTAACAATGGATTCGAGCCCTGCGTCGTGTGGTTCGTGATTTAGCGACTTGCGCTGTCCATGCTACAATGCTCGTCACTACCGTGGCGGACGAGCTACTTTAATGGTCATCGAGCTGACTGCATGACACCCTTGCGTGGCCCGCATCCCGCACACACTGAAAAACTGATTCACGTGGTGGTGGTCAGACTCGACGAAAAACGAGCTAACGTTATGCCGTTTCCGGCCTCGGCCAAGCCGCCTATTTTGGGGCTGCAATGCAGTTGTGGCGGTCGGCAAGGCTGGAACCGAGCGGTAGAGCTATGCCGCATCCAGTGGAATTGCGAACTCGAGTGCGCGCGGCAGGGATTCCGAGGGGGACAGCTCGCGACGGGGAATCAAAAGGAGCTGCCACGTCTTGATGTCGACGACGACCAGTGTGCCGCTGGCAGCTCGGTAGGACAGGATTCCGTTCATGACAGCGGACGCTCGATCGAGGTAGTACACGCCGCGGTATATCCAATGGGTTTGATCAAATTGGTACTGCGCCACGGAATGCAAGAGGAGCGACGTGTGAATGGGGCACTGGACTCGCCGCCGCGACAACACCAGCAAGTCGACAAAGAAGAAAACCACGCAGCAAATGCACGCCAGCATCATGAGACCACCGAATCGAGCGACACTGCCAATCTCAAACACCCCACTGCGGCACGTCAACGCGAAGTCGACGGCGTCCGTGACGCAGTCGCGATCGATTCGCACAACATGCTGGACAGGGGCCACCACACTCCACAGGCCAGCAACGACCCAAATCGTCACGCTGGCTTTCCACGAATACTGCGACGTGAGGTCGGTCGTTGCGACCGAAAAAAGGTCGTTCAAGATGTACACGATCCACCCCATTTCGCCGCTTGACAGCATCGTGGCTATGGTGTCCGGCGCCACCGACACGAATTGAGTGAACCCGCCAAAGTTGTCCAGGTGAAGTCTGGCCGTCGACAAGATGCAAATGGCCGTCAAGCCACGGAGGAGCAGCAACGCGCGGCCAATCCAGACTTGTCCGGCCACTCGATTGAACTGGATCGTGTTGAGGCCCTCGATGTACCCACGGTTGGCAACAATCGTGAGGCAGACGACGACGGCGACCATCAATAGCACGATCGTAAAGTACTGAATCGCGCATCGAAAGTAAAACGCCACGTTTTGCGGAATCTCGTGCGCGTCCACTTCATACATCATCGTGGGGGACATTCCCGAGAGCACGTGCATCGCTGCAGTGGCCCCGTCAAAGTAGACCACTTCGCGGTTCCCGAGGACCCACCCAAACATGTACATCCACGCAAAGAATTCGAATGTAGGCTCGTCGAAGACACCCACAGTCGACAGCACGATCTCGCTCTTGCGCAGTGCAGAGCTCGTGTACTGAACCATTTGCGGCGCGTAGAGCTGCTGAATGGCGTCGTTTGTCCTGGCGGCCAAGTCAACCAGCGGCAATCGCTGGTCAAGGGGGATGGCCGATGAAAAGAATGCAAAGCCTTGCTGCAGCATCTCGACACAATTGGTGCGCGCGTACACTTCATGAGCACACGTCCCCTCGATAAAACCGGGAGGACGTGTCGAGTGGATGAGCAGGGCTGCCATGGACGTCAACTTGCTGCCTTGAGCCTGCTCGTCCGCGTTGGCTGCACACGACCCGTCCGACGCAAAGTACTCGGCCAACTGCATGCCAAGGGAAGAGCTGAGACCGCACATAAAGTTGCCGCCAAAGTGTTGTCGTCCTCGCCATGCAATCGTGTCGGGCGTAAAAAATTTCATCGTTCGGATGGCGAGAAAGTCTTTCAATGCAGTCGCGTTCTGACCAACCGATGCCGTGATGGTCTCGGTTAGACGGCGGTACAGAGCGCGTAATTCGACAGGTGGCGCGATTCGTTTGGTGGAGATCGTTCCAAATGGACCGAGCAAAGCGCGCGTCATGGCCAGCCCTGGCTCCAACGGGAATTGCAACGTGCCGCTTCGAATGAAGAGCGTCTCGATGCTCGACGTGTTACAAAAGGCAAAACTCGGGCTGGCACGCACGAGGCTCGACCCATCGAGCCCGGACGAATTGGACGCGACGGCCAAGAGCAGCTTTGCCAGAGGCCACGTCATACGCCAAGACGACGGCACCACTGCCTCTTGATACGTTGGTCGAATCTTTCGGATCGTGAACGGGTACGCCAGGCCAAACGCGTTTTGAATGTCCATCGTTTCAGTGATCCCGATCTGCTTGAAATTTTGCCAATGCGGAGCAAACTCTGTCACGTTATGAAGCACCCACGTGGCCACTTCGTCGTGAATCGGTAGAGACGGCCGCGACTGTATGCTGTCCACCCATGCCCGGCCGTCGGACGTTCGTTGGAGGTGGTCGAACACGCCCCGTGCCAACGCAGCGCCCCAGCACAATTCCATCGCTGGCCAGTGTGTATTTCGCAAGATGGTTTCCAAATACACTGCGCCGTTGGCGTTGTCGAGTTGGCACTTGTTTTGCCGGTCCGACGACACGGCCATTTCCCACGTTCGGTTGAGATCGACGTAGCAGTACACGGTGGCGATCCAGGGCATATCGCACGACCGCATGGCCCGCAGGCCCGACGCAACAACGTGTAAGTTCGAGTACACCTCGGCTTGGATCGTCGCTGGGTACAGCGGCGCCGTCGTGAGGGACGTTTGCATTGTGTTGTACGCATTTTCGACGTCGCCGTACTGGGGCCGGTCCACCTGCGTCGCGTCCAGTGTGTTTGAGAGCAGGAGCTGTTTGGTGCACCAGTTGGTCAGAAATGTTTGGTGGCCCGTCGCGTTGAACGATGCCCACCATAAATCGTTGGTCATGGTCGAGTCCGTCACGACGAGGTAGCTGTAACTTGCAATCACTGTCATGACCATGTACAGCGACCCAAGGCAAGACAGCCCAAATTGTAGTCGACTTTCGTGGGCTTGGGATGCGGCGGAACTTGGCGGCGCTGCGGGGGCGGCCACGGCCCCTTTTGCTGTCGCACTGCCGAGAGAGAACGGGCGCCATACCTTGATGTCAAACGCGTCGCGATGCCAATGCAACATGCCGCACAGGACTCCCGCCACCGGGTCCAGCGCGCCGTCGCCGGCCACGTGGAGGTAGGACGTGGCTGCTGTCGGAATCAAGACGTGATGCCCTGGTCGGAGGATATTCGGCGTCGAGTCGATCCACGTCCGAGTGACCCACGCCACAAACCAGACTGCGGCCGGAACCGCCGCCGACAACCACCAGAGTAGTGTAAATCGATCGGAGCTCCCAATTTCGACAATGCCGCTCGTACATTGCACTTGGTGCCCAAGGTAGTCGATAACGCACATGGGATGTATTTTGGACGTAACGTGAAGCGCCATGACTTGGTCAAGACAGAGAAAGACGACCCAGGACAGGCACGAACTGAACGGAATGAACCAGCCGCCGCAACGGGTGACGGGGGTGCAAAAGTCTTGCAGGACGTACGTGAGCCACGTTCCTTCCCCGGCCAGCAAGCATGACACAAGGAGCGGCCGCGACGACCTCTGCAGCGCCGAGATGCCCCCGTCCTCGACAAACCGCACGTCGACAGTGCTCAGCACGATCATGGCTGTCATGCCACGGACAAACAGCATCGGACGTCCGATCCAAACGGACCCGACGACGCGGTTGAACTGGAGCAAGTGCCGTCCGTGAAAGTGCAATCGATTCACGGACGCGTACACGATCGCCAGGACCCCCACTCCCATCAACGTGAACGTAATGTACACGGAAATGTACCAAATGTACTTGCACGCGTGCGACGGCATCTCCATCGGATTTGCCACGATCGAAAACGTGTCAGGGTGCGGCTGCGACAGCATCGTCACGTTTCCTTCGTCCCCTTCAAACTTGACCGCTTCGCGGTCCCCTTGCAACCAGTCGTACACGAAAACCCATCCAAACACTGTCCAGGGGTCATCGGGGGCCGTGGGTACCATGGATTGTGACAACACAACATGCGACATGTTGTCCGACGCGAATTGGATAAATTTCATGTCCAACGCCATGGTGGCATGCGCTGCGTCGATCCGCGCCGCCGACGGCAGGTCGAATTCGACTCGTATGCGCCATATTTCTCGTACAAAGCCGAGGCAGTCGTCGATCATCTCGACGCTGCACAAGTTGCACGTTGCGGCAACAAATGCATCGGGGGGGCCAACAGGGCGTGCCATGTGCATGGCAAACACCACGGCTTCTGCCGTCAGTCGAAACGAATGCGGGGTCGGAGTCGCACAGTCGTCGTAATAGCCAAACGGGGGCTGGACGAACGGTTTCCCGCCGCCAAACGGACACACGGGGTTGCCGCCGTAGTACAGTCGATTCGCTTGTCGCCACGATGGAGGGACCGGGTCGACGGGGATCGGCGGGGGCAGGCGACGCTCCCGATAGATCGCCACAAGGTGGTCTTGAAATGTCGCGTGGAAGGACCGCAGCGCTACGGGGTGGGGCACCCATTCAATGTCGATGGACATGAACGGCCCGATGCTCTGGCGCACGAGATTTGCGCCGGGGTTGTTGGGCGGTTGAAACGTATCCACGTCCCAGTCGATGCCGAGGTTGACCACGCTGTTGTTCGCGTTCAAGATCAAGCTCGCATTCAACGCCTGGCACGTGTACAGGTCATTCCAGATGCCAACGTTGGCGGCAAGCGTTGTCCACCGGCCGATGCTTCGGCCGTACTTGGACACCTTTTTGATTTGCATCGACTGTTCGTATCCGAGGGCATTTCGAATCTGGATCGTGTCGTCGATGCCGTCTTGGAACAAGTTTTGGAGGGGGGTTTTCCACCGCTGGAGGCCGCGCGTTGTCCAATACAAGACTTCGTCCGGAACAGGTTGCATGTGATGCTGTTCCATGGCGTCGATCCAGTGTAGTCCAGCCGGGGACATCCGCACGGCCTCGAGGATGGTAGCGTCGAGCTGCTGGCTTTGGGTCGCCGTGTACATGGCATGCGAGGGACAGTTGCGGATCACGGCTTCCAGGTACACCGCAGCATTGTCTCGCTTCGTGGCATCGCATCGGCGCTGCCGTTTGAACGTGTGCGCCATGGCAAAGTCCCGATTGAAGTCGAGCCAGCAGTACTGTGCGGCCATCAAAAAGCTCGACTCGAATGAACGCAGCCGAAGGGCCGTCACGGCGGCGTCCAGGGGAATGTTGTCCAACAGGATTTGGCGCCCGTACGACGCGCTCCATTCAATCCGAGTGTCGTCGGTGCGATACGACTTGGTCGAGTACACCACGTCTTCGTGGAAGAGATGGAACTCGCCCGTGCGGCCTTGGGTTAACTGGGCGTTGTACACGTCGCCCAAGAACGTCTGCACGCCCGTCGAGTTGAAGTCGGGCCACCAGTAGTCGTTGGCCAAACTCGGACGGACGTGGCCCAAGTACACCGCACTACTGACAAGCGATCCGACCAAGTAAACGATGCCGCCGACCGCCTCCCATGCATGCCGTGGCCGAGACGTCGCCACCGATGGCGCTCGCTGTGGGATGTCATCCACCTTTGGTGCCACCTGTGCCATGCTTTCGACGCGTGGTTTTGCATGGGCGTGCGGTGCAGTTTCATGCAAAACGGTTGGAAACCGCGCGCGGACTCGTCCCGCTTGATGGAATCGACAGCGTCACAAAATCTCGTTTCAAACGACGGGAGGACGATGGCGGGACCCGGACGGCTGCGAGGGACGCATGTCTCGACCATGTGCGCTGAATCCACTATGTTAACAAACTGCTTGAACGCTAGACCGTCTTCTACGTTGACTTTGTGGCTCCGGTGCAGGAAAAAAGTGTTGGAGGCACGAAGGCGCGAGCACTCCTCTCCAACAACGAACGGTGTGTCTATTCTTATAGTCTCCAATACAAGCATGTGCCCGCTGCAAACGTCGCGCCCATTGTGCTGGGTGCCATCGGTCGTTCGGCCGCAACGACACCCCCACAACCTTGTCCACGTTGGAGGTTACTTTCGCCTGGATTTCGCCGCTTGTTTCGTGAGCTTCCTGCGGACACGTTCGACGTCGCAGTGCAGCTTCTTGTACAGGTCGACCAGGTCGTCCTCCGATGTGTGTGGGAATTCCATCGCGAGCCGTGCGAGCGCAGTGTGTTTAGATGGTGTCTCGACCTCTGGAGCGATCTCGACGCAGATCTTGCCCGCCTACAGTAGCCACCACGTCGACTTGTCGATCGGTTCAACGAGCAGAGGTCGTACCGCCGCACTCTCGTGCGCGAACCGAATCGGCGGCCCGGTCAGGTCATCGTCGAGGCTTCGAATACTGTCGTAGTGCTCGTCGTTGTAGTAGCACACGTGGAAACTGCGTGCGTCGGCGCTGCCACACTCAATCGTGGTGCATTTCCCATCCACCTAACCGAGCCATGCCCCCACTGTGACGTGCGGTGTTTGCCAGTGCGATGGACGTACCTGGTGCACAACTATATTACACTGCCACACTTGTGCAGCCGCAAACAACTCGAGGTTGCCACCCCAGACACCGTCGTCTGCCATGCGTCTGCAATACTACCGCATCCACGTGTGAATCGTGCAGACCATTGCACCCTGCCAATGTACATGATCAAACTCTTCCTCGTCTTCCAAGAACGGCTCCAAGTCGTCGCGATGCGCTTGGATATGGGCCACAATGCGCTACAAAAGGGTGGTCAGCGCCACCATGCCGGTCGAGCACAGACCGACCTGTCGAACCGACGCAAAGTGCACCTGGTCGCCGTAGATTTGGTCGCTCAGCGTGCGAAACAAGCAGTTCCCATCTGCTTCAATCGACTACACGATCGTCAAAAGGTCGCCAGTCGAGAGATCGCACCACCAACTGGCACCCACGCTTGGCCAACTCCTGTCGAATCGCATGCACGTCCGTCCCAGCGCCAGACGAGCCACGCCCGGCCTTCTTCTTGGACGCCGCAGCTCGTTGCTATGGGGTTGAGCCCTAAGACCAGCGATGATGCAAGCGGACGTACTGCCTTTGCTTTGGCCTTCTTGGCCTCGCGCCCCATCCGGCAATTTTGACGCCCATGTTGGAAACCTTTTTTTTGATATTTTAAGTGTCCTGTGCGCCAAAAAATGTCGAATATCTGGCACATGATTGGCTGATCGCGCCGGAAAAAGCACCAATCGAGGTAAACCAAGCAGGAGTAGTTAGTAAAAACCCGATTTTTTCGCTGGACAAATTGGGTTCAAGGTTTTTATCATTAAGACCCGAATCACGGGTATTAAAATCATTGTTTTATTCACGTGCATAATACAGCAGTGCTTACAGAGGGCCGATTTGTGTTGGTGTGGGTTAACGTCGTCGGTGTAGAGACTTCTCAGGTCGCTGCCTTGCCGACCACGTTGACCCCCTCCTGAAGCAGCATCGATATTGCCATTGTCATTCAATGGATGTCCGCCTGCACCAGACCTAGGATCAACGTTGATATTGCTGTCGTCGGCGATGTCGCTTTCGATATCGATGACAACGGCCTCCGCTTCCACAACGATGTCGGACATGATTACAAGTGCGATGGAAACTGCCCATTGCCCACCTTTCAACAAGGCGCGCAGTCTGCACTCTATGAAAACCCGATTTTCCGAATAAAAATCCGATTCTGTTCGACAATCGGGTTTTATATGAAAACCTGAACAGAAAATCCGCTTGATAAAAAATCCAGGGTCTGCCACGCTTGAAACCAAGGCATAATAATGCAGGAATATTTCCAAAAATCCGAATTCCGGAATATTATATATATTTACACGGAAAGGGTGTACGCAAACGCATGGCGGTACTCAAGATGACATTAAAGCGGTCAGCACAAATCCCGTGCCTCGACTATACGACGGACTCTCGTCACAGTGGAGGACATTCGAGCGCTTACGCACCGCACCACTTGGTGCTGTGGCTTTCCATAAAGACGGCGCAGTCGTTCTTGGTCACGCGCGTGCCGAGACACTCGTCGCCCTTGGGCCAGTAGCACGTTTTGCACGTCAACGGGCATGTGCCGGGAATAGTGGTCGTCGGCGCTGGCGTGGGGGACAGGGACGTCGTGGGGGCAGCAGTTGTCGGTTGGGGCGTCGTCGTCGGGCCACCGGCAATGCACCCAGCAGCCTGGAGCATTGGCAGCAGCTGCCCTTTCGAGTGCAACAAGGCCAATTGGTCGTACCCGCCAACGTACTTGCCAGAGATGTACACGTATGGGGTCAAGTTGGACCCCGTCGAGAGGATGAGCGCCGATCGCACTTCTGCACCGGTCGGGGACGTGACCAACGTCTCGAGTTCAATCACCTTGACGTTGTTTGCACCAAGCGAGTCGAACAGGATCTTGGTCTTGACGCATGCCTCGCACACCTTGGACGCAAAGTCCACGCACCCGTTCGACGCCACGACCTTGTCGATCCATTCCTTGGCTGTGACCGGGCCAGGCGCAGGGGTCGTTGTCGGGGTCACCGTTGTGGGCTTCACGGTGGGTTTGGTGGTCGTCGGCTTGGGCTTGGTCGTTGTCGTTCGAACCACCCACGCTTCGTCGACCGCATGGTCATCGAACCAAGCCGCCGCCGCGACTGCAGTTAGCATCAACCAGAGCAAGATCAAGCACCGCATCGACGCAATCGATTACGAATTTGAAAGTGCACCAGCCGGCGACGGTCAAGCGTCGAATCGGTCGAGCCACAACGACAGACAGGCCCACGGGAGTGATCTGATTCGATGCGGTGCAGCCCTCGTCTGAGACCACCAAGCACACCGACCCTGCTCATGTGCCAAGCACACCAGCTGCGAATGCGCACAAATTTGACAAGGGAGCGCTCAGCCATGTCGTGTGGTTGGAGCACGGGGAGAACTGACTGCGCAAGCGCGGCTAGACGAGTCCACACCTCTCGCGGCATCGATTGATGTGCCTTTTGTGACTTTCGTCGGGAAAACCGGCAGGTAGCGAGCATGGCCGCGTCGAGGCGGGGCGTCCATGATCGTGGTCGCTGAACCGATGGGAGCCAACTATCTTGCCCATGCCAGGTGAGTGTTCTTCTGGAATTCGATCAATATCTGACTATACCTGCGGTTGGGGTGGCCTTGACAGCCATGGCGGTATTTGGACGCCGAAGATTCCATCACACACCGCGTGGCGCTCGGTGTGGGGCTAGCCATGCTGCATTCCTTTCGTCCGTGTCGACGCATGCGTCGTCGGGACGATCGGGACATCTCGATGCTTTCCGTGTCGTCAATGAGTTTGGTACCCACAGCCCAGGGCGCCTTGGCGGCTGGATAGTTCATCTGGTCCTGTCGGTCTGAGTATATGTGCGTCTGATTCAACCAACTGGCTGCTGCTGACCGCGCGCTGGAGTTGTCGCTGCGACAAGCCATGTCGTGCTGACGCGCTGCTCTTGATTGCAACGATGGACTACCGGTAGCACATCCACGAAATGGAGAGGCTATCAAAGCCCGTCGTCAGGTACCGATCCAACCAGGAAGTCAAATGCATTTCTGCGCGCTCGATGTGATGGAGTTGGTGCCGTTGGATTGGGCTGTACGATGGCGATTCATGGATCCACAACAATTCCCCCCACGCAGACGGGGCCGAAACATCGGCTACATGGAGGAGCCGGCAGATGGAACGGCGTATGCTTGGTGCGCGTTCGGCTCGAATTCCCCAACAGATCGCCCCCCAACCGCGCGTGGTTCGTGTAAACTAGTGCAAGAACAACGATGACGTGCGCTGTCAACCATCCGGGCACCAGCTTCCATGGTTCAAACCGCTGTCGGGCAATCATACTGTCGCGGAATCCAACGTGAAATCCAGGAGTTGGATGTGTGTCCCAGCTCCCCCTCGAGCCTCGTCGTACCATTCAGTACAATGAAGGATGGAACGGGATTACGATAAACAACTTTTCGAGTTTGTGCTATTGTTCCACGGCCCGGTGTCGCGGGAGGCCGCCCCTTGCGTGAGTCGAACCAAATCTCCCTTGTTCATGCGATTCTGTCTGGAGCTGCGAACGCAAGGCGATCACCTGGACAAAGAAGCGGGACATTTTTGGCTGTAGGTACCGGACGCTGCGCCAGCCGGACATTCGACCATTGTCCCCGCCACGTTGGGAAAGAAGCTTGGAGATGCCTGCGTCGTGCGATGTCACACAAACCGTGCATCATAAACGGGAACACATGTCCTCGTTGGCGAATGTGAAGCGGCACAACCTTCGAAGCGATCGACCCATGGCGCAGAAGCATAAAACTTTCGACGCTCGGGCACGCATTCTCTCCTCAAAGCTAACAACGCGATCCACAAAGTCTTGCCCGACGAAGGCTTCCCGTATCTCCTGGAACACCTCGTCTCGGTCGGAAGCTCTTGCTGGAGGACGTGGCGCCCGTCCAACACGATTGGAGCGCACGTCGTCCAGCCACACCATGACCCGTTTCTGCCGATGGGCATTGAGTGGATGTCGCTGCCGCCCCCGAGTGTGCGCTACGGAGAATTTGCACCAAAATTCTGCCGGCGTAACACCTCGCGACGACGATGTCGAAGGACCACTGGCTTGTTGCCAGCGATGCGGCATCGCGCGAATCGGTTGTTTGACAGCAAAAGCGCGCTGTGCCCGTGTGGAGCTCGAATGCCGTTCCTTGAACCGTTCTTGTACTGCGGCGGCAGTGAACTTGCAAGACAAAGTCCATGCACGCTGCCGTGCAAGGACTACGCGTCGTGGACTGCTGCGCATTGCCATGGATTGTAACGTCGCCGCCGACGGAGTGGCACCGTGGCAGGCGTTCGGCATGACAGCGTACGCTCTTGACTGGCAAACGAAATGCTCCTCGGAGTTGTTCGTGAATCCATCCTAGATGCGTTTGGGTGGGTGTGTCATTCACGGTCCGCACGATGTCGCCGGTGCTGCGCATCGTCACACCGTTTCGAATGCAGTCGCCGCTCGCAGTTACTTGCATCGAACGCGTCGATCCTCGATGCCTCAAGTCACGTTCGATCCATTCCTGCAATGGTGCATTTTGCTCATGCATCGAGTGACGTCGAAACCCTCTTGGTTCTCAACTGGACGCGAATTCTTGCAACTCGATTGCGGCTTGGCGCTGACTCGGGGCATGTTTGAAGTGTTCGGAGTAGTCTCCATGCAGGCTTTGTACCATGTCTTGATCGAAGCCATTCTGACTTCCACGGACAACACCATGTCACGGCCTCGAGCGTTCACGTCCATCACAAGACTGAGCATGGCCACGACCGACATGAACTGGTTGGCGCAAAATGCGCCATGTCGGCGGCAACTTCATGTGACGATTGGAGAAGCTGCTTTCACTGGAACTGTTGGACCTCTTGCATGGCACGCATCCTGCGTCGACCGCTGTACTCCAACATCTCTTTTTCGGCGACGACGCTCTTGCAACGAGCGACGTTCGATCGTTCAGTACACAGCAAACGCCAGGACGGAACCGAGACGGGCGAGGACAAACCAGCCCACGACCCGACTGATATTGACTACACCAACATTGATGGCGTCGAACCCGACGTGTCGATCGAAAGCACGACATGCTGATCGAGCAAAAGGAAGCTCCACACGCCAGGCTTGAGCGACATAGAATACGTTGGCGTTGAGTGTGCACTCGGCTGTGATGCCCCTGTCACGACGGAAAACCCAGCGTTCACATTAAAGATGAACTCCTCCACACGACCAGCTCAACCACGCGTAGGCATCAAAACTGTAGCTCGTGTTCTGCGATCGTGTTGACTATGACCATGCATCTCATTCCACCAGCTTGGTTGTGCGGCTCGACAAAATTCATGTCGGCGCCGCCGGACGCCGTGACCACGATCCTGGAATTCGTGTGGGTGGGTCACCATTCTTCACGAGATCGTTGCGTTGTGGATGCCGCCCGTCATGAGGCAGTACTTGGTGGGAGTTGGAGTTATTAGTCTCGGATTCTCGTTGTCGCGTTGTGGTCCAGTATGAACTGGATCCGGTGTCCATTGCGACAAGCGCCGTCCATGCATGCCATGCCAAGTCAACCTGACACACTCATGCCCTCAAGCCTTGGCTGCACATGCATCCGTCAAGGCGGAATCCATGGTTGACGGACTAGGAAGGGGGAATGGCGACGTGTTTGGCGATCGCGTACTGCGGACGAGGTCCCTTCAAGTGAAAGACTGGAGCCCATGGCATCTCCTTGATGGATATTCAATTATACGGCGCAAACAGGCCATTATATCCCCCTGAGGTAGCGACTTGTCTACGTCCTTGCGCTCTTCGCACGAGGTTGGCCGCGACGTGCGCATCGTGGATGCACGTCGATATTGCTGGCACGTCCCGATTTGTCGACCAGGGATCTCCACACGAGCAGTGGACTGGCCGGGTTCCCAGCGACCAAAACTTCAGTTGGCAAGCGGAATTGCATGGACGAACGATGGAGGCATGGGCGTGCATGGGGTGTCGGGGACTGGCACGACGAACCATTGCCACGTCTTGACGTCCATCACGAGGTAGGCGCCATTCGGTGCCCGAATCGACAAGAGGCCGTTCAGCATGGCAGACGCGCGATCGAGGTAGTACATGCCGCCGCAGAGCCAAGGGGTTTGTTCGAACTGGAACTGCGCCACCGAGTGGAGCAGCAGGGACTTGCTGATTTGGGTGTTTGCGCCGCGCGACCCGAGCCCGCGCTCGATTGCGTAGCTGACAACACAACCAACGCCAGCTAAACCAAGCAGCCCGACAAACCGATCGACTTGGCCAATTTCAAACGTTGCACTGTGGCAGGACAAGGTGAAGTCGACAACGTCCGCGGTGCATTGCCGATCAATGGACACGGCATGTCGAACTGGTGAGACCAAGCTCCACACGCTGGCAGCGAGCCACACGCCGACGCTTGACTTCCAAGCATACCGCGACGTGACCTGGCCAGTCATGACAGAAAACACGTCGTTCAGGATGTACACCACCCATCCCATCTCGCCACACGAGAGCAGCGTCGTCATGGTGTCCGGTGGACCCGACACAAATTGCGTAAACGTGCCCCCCATGGCGGGCAGGTCCAGCCGTAACGTCGCCGTCGACAAGATGCAAACGGCAGTCACTCCCCGCAGCAGCACGAGCGGACGACCGATCCAGACGAGCGCTGCGACTCGATTGAATTGGAACATGTTCATGCCTTCGATATACCCCCGGCTCAGCACGATCGAGATGCACACACCCACCGCGATGGCGAGCAGGACGATCGTAAAGTATTGGATCGTGCAACGAATGTAAAACGCCATGTTTTGAGGAATTTCCTGGGAATTCACATCAAAGCGCATGACGAGCGGCCGCCCCGACACAACCGTCATGGTCGGTTTCGACGCGCCCGTGAACTGCACCACTTCTCGGTACCCCAGCACCCACTCAAACATGTACAGCCACGCGAAAAACTCGAACGTGGGCTCGTCGAACACTCCGATGTGGGATAACGCGGTCGCTGACCCGACTTGACAGTCCCACGTGAACTGGACAACTTGCGGTGCAAGCGTGGCTTGAATCGTGCGTTTTGTAGCCTGCGTGACGTCCGCCAGCGCCGCGAGCGTGCTGGACAGCAACGGTGTCGACGCAATGAATGCAAGTCCTTGCTGCATCACTTGCTCGCACGACGGGCGCGCAAGCGTCTCATGCGCGCACGTAGATTGCACGAGTTCGTCGCCTCGCACTGCTTGCGACAGCACCGCCGCCATCGTGGTGTGCCCGTTGTTGAGTGTTTGGTCGTTGCCGTTTGACGAACACGATCCGTCCAGGGCAAAGAACTCGGACATTTCGCGGGTCAAGACCTTGCCGCCATCGCACATAAAGTTGCCCCCAACGGTACATTGGTACCTCCACGCCATTGTGCAAGGAGTGAACATCGACATCTTTCGAACGGACATATAGGCATGCAAGGTGGTCGCGTTGTGACCGATTGCGCCCACGATGGCCTCGGTCAGCTCGCGATAGAGCGCGCGCAGGGCCAAAGGGGGTTCGACCCGCGTCATGACAACCGTCCCAAACGGCCCGAATGTCTGCCGTGTCAGAGCAAGCCGCCAACCGAGGGGGAACTCCACCGTCTGGTTGCGCGCAAGCAAGGCCTCCATGCTGGACGCGTTTCCAAATGCGTAGACAGGACTCGATCGAACCAAACTCGAGCCCCCGACGCCAGACGAGTTGTTCGATACGGCCCACAGAGTCTTGGCAAGAGGCCACTGCATGCGGAATGACGTCGGCGTCGCCGCCGAATGATACATGGACGGCACGTTGCGAATCGTAAGCGGGTACGCCAGTCCAAACGCGCTGGTCACGTCGACGGTCTCGGTGACGCCAATGTGTTTATAGTTTTGCCATGCGGGGTAAACGCTGTAATGTTGTACGAGAGCCACGTTGCGACTTCGTCGGCCACCGATGGCTTTGTGTCTGATGTCACGGCAGCGACCCATGCGACGCCTCTGGACGTTCGTCCGACTTCATCGAATACGGCAAGAGCCAAGGCGGCGCCCCAACACGCTCTCAGCGATGGCCAGTGCGCATTGCGCAAAATGGATTCCAAATAGACGGCGCCGTTGTCTCGGTCGAGCGTGCACTTGGCCTGCCGGTCGGCGGACACGGCCATTTCCCACGTTTGTCCAAAATCGACAAAGCAGTGCGACGCGGCAATCCATGGCAGCGTGCAGCTGTCCATGTCGCGCAGCCCTTGGATGACCACGGGCAGGTTGGAGTACACGCTGCGTTGGATGGTCGCAGAGTATGTCGGCGCAGTCAATATCGACGCATGGATGCTATCGTACGTCGAAACGATATCTGCGTACTTGGGCTGGTCGATTTGTGTCGCGGGCATGACGCTGGTCAGCAAGAGTTGGGTGTTGAACCAGTTGGTCAAGAACGTTTGGTGGCCCGTCGAGTTGAACCCGGGCCACCAAAAGTCGTTGGCCATCGTTGACTCAGTCACGACAAGGTAGCTGTAACTTGTCGCGACCGTGGCAACCATGTAGCCAAGCCCAAGGTACACCAGGACGCGCCGGCGCGTTCCAAATTCAAGCTGGGGACGTCCCGCAGGAGTCGCTCCGCCGTCAACTGAGGCGGGAGCTTCGGGCACTGTCCGCCACACCTTGATGTCGAACACGCCACTCCCATACAGCAGGATCCCGCACATGACGGATGTGACGGAATCCAGGTAAGCACGTGGTGGCAAGTAGGCGGCTGCGGCTGACGGCAAGAGCGAAGGAATGCCTGGACGGATGATTTCGGGTTGGCCAACCTTCCACCCCTGGCACACCGCCGTGGTAAGCATGATGAAGGCCGGCACCGCGGCGGACACGGCCCAACCAATCGTTAATGTCGCCATGCTCCCGATTTCGACCGTCCCGCTCTCGCATGACACTTGATTCCCCAGGTATTCCACAACGCACGTTTGTTGAATCGTTGGCGTGACTTCTGTGATGTCGTCCATCTCCATTCCCATCAAGATCCACCACACGAGAGTCGAACTCATCGGAATGTACAGACCCCACGGTCGCGTCACCGGCGTGAACACGTCTTGAACGACGTACGTGAGCCACGTGCCTTCGCCTGCGAGCAGGAACGACTCGAGGAACGACCGTCGGTTCCGCTGAAGCAACGAGATACCGCCGATTTTGTCCAACGAGACGGGAAACGTGCTCATGATCACGATGGCCGTCATTCCTCGAACGTAGAGCAGGGGGCGGCCAATCCAAACAGACCCAACGAGGCGGTTGAACCGAAGCAAGTGCGCCCCATCAAAACGCAACCGATGCACCACACCATACACGATCGCGAGGACGCCCACGGCACCGAGAACGAACGAGACGTACACAGAGATGTACCAAATGTACTTGCACGCGTGGGACTGCAAGTCGATGGGGTTGGCTTGAATCGAAAACTTTTCCGGGTGGGGCTGCGTCACGAGCGTCACGTTGCCTGCGTCCCCTTCAAAGCGGTAGACTTCGCGCTGTCCCTGCAGCCAGTCGTAGAGGACCACCCATCCAAAGAATGCCCACGGGTCGTCGGTGTCCATGGTGATCATGGGCTGCGTCAGCACAAAAGCAGAATTGTTCTCGGAGGCGAATTGTATGAACGCAACTTCCAACCCAACAGTGGCCTCATAGATTTCCAACCGTTCGGGCAACGACTCGTTCAAGCGATGGCGCGCCATGATGGTCAAGAACGTTACGCAGGCCTGGGATGCCTCGACGCTGCACAATCGGCACGACTTGACCGCTAATCCCGGCACCGACAGCGGCGACGTCAAGAAGATGGCAAAGAGAGCTGCGTCCGGAGTGATGCGAAGCGAGTGCGGCGTCTGCGCAGTGCAATCGTCGTAATATCCAAACGACGGCTGGATGAACGGTCGCCCGCTTCCAAACGGACACACGGGGTTGCCGCCGTAGAATAACCTGTCGGGCCCCCCTCGCCACGACCGCGGCATCGGGTCGACATCCACGCCGGGGGGCAGCCGCGTCGCGCGATACTTGTATGTTGTCCCGACGAACTGTTGAAAATCCCGAAACGTTGATCTCAAGAGTGGCGGCGGCGGAACCAACTCGATATCGATCGACATGAATGGTCCAATATATTGGCGAACGAGGTTGGCGCCGACCGTATTCGGGGGTGCCAGCAGGTCCACATCCCAGTCGATGCCAAGGTGGGGCAAGCTGTTGTTCGCGTGGAGGAGGACGCTTGCGCCAAGGGGTGCACACATATACAGGTCGTTCCAGATGCCTCCATACGCCGCCAACGTTGTCCATCGGCCCATACTTCGCCCAAACGCAGACATCTTTTTGATCTGCATCGGTTGGTCGAACCCGAGAGCGTTGCGGATATTGATCGTGTCCACGATGCCGTCGTGCCGCAAGTTTTGGACATTTGTCTTCCATCGCAGCAGCCCGCGGGACTTCCAAAACAAGACTTCGACCGGTATGGGCAGCAATTGATGCATTTCCATCGCCTGGATCCACCGTCGACCCTCAGGCGTGACTCGCAGAGGCGCCAGAATCGTCGTGTTGATCTCATATCTCTGCGTCGTCGTGTACATGGCTCTTGCGTCGCAGTTGCGTGTGAGCGCTTCGATATACAGCGCGGCATTGTCGCGTTTGGTGGCTTCGCACCGCTCTTGGCGCTTGAACGTGTGGGCCATGGCAAAGCTCCGATTGAAGTCGAGCCAGCAATATGGCGCCACCACCATCATGTTGGCTTCGAATGTGCGCAGTCGCAGAGCTTGCACTGCCATACGAAGCGGAATATTGTCCAGGAGTATCGCGCGACCGTACGAAGCACTCCATTCCATGCGCGTGTCATTCCCAGCATACGGCTTTCTCGAGTACACAACACCACCACTCCAGAGCGGGAACTTTCCCCGGCTCCCTTGCATCAGGTGCATATTGTACACATCGCCCAGGAACGTCTGCACGCCGGTCGAGTTGAAGTCTGGCCACCAGTAGTCGTTGGCCAAGCTCGATTGGATTTGGAACAAATACACACAGCTCAATGCAATCGACCCGACAACGTAGAGGATGCCTCCAGCCGCCGTCCACGCATCGAACTTGACGGACACAACGGTGGCAGGCTGTTCATCCGTCGATGACTGCTCGGTGACTTCGATTTCTTCGGTCGGCGCCACCTCCGCCATGGTCAAACAATTGCACGGACGACGTTGCGCCTGTTCACCGTGAAACCGAGCTAGGTAACTGCAAGTCCCAAAGGTCGTGTACCGATGCCAACGCAACGACTTCCTGTGGAACGTCCGTAGAAAGTGCATGGATATCTGTTACATATTCATTGTGGGCGTTCGGGCAGAGCACGCATAGTGCTGCACACACATCGGATGGTCGCAAGAGTCCGCGGGCAAAGTGGCGTGAACCATCCTTGAACCCGGCACCGTCTCTTTCTGCAAGCGTACAAGCTGACGGCACGCAGCACGACCCCAGTGGTGGTGGTTGGATCGAAGCATACATGCCATGGCTCTCGTTGACAGCATGGACCTGACCATGACAGCACAGAAAGGGCCCGTGTGCTCGTCCGTAAACGACCATGGCGATGGACTAGAACGAAACGACAGGCACGACTGTGGAACGATAGTATGCGCTGCCTTCACCGCAGCACATGTTCACGCTATTACGATTTCCAAAGCTGTTGCTGGCGCGAGCTTGCCATGAGGAATACATTGGCTTCACCGCTACGAAGCACCTGCTCAATGTAATTGGACTTGCAACTCTGTGGCTGACGCGTGATTGCCATGGCCCCAATCGTAATATACTTTGATGCTGTCGTTGGTACTCGTTCGGTGTAAAGGTAGATAATCGTTCAAGCGAGCGGCGGCTCGACCGACAAATGATGCTTCCACGCAGATCACTCGGGGCTTCGATGACTATTACCACTTTCACATTATCATGGCGTGCATGAACCGACGGCAGTTGGCGTTCATGTTCGTGGTGGATTGGCAGCTCCACACACACACACACCACGTCTTAACGTCAACGACGGATAGTTGTTGCAAGACCTGGACGACCAAGTAACCATTCACGACACCCCATGCTCGATCGAAACACTGCTCCACCTCCACCTCCCACCGCTTTCAGTGCAAGTTATTCTGCCTTGTGGCATGGAGCACCAGCGACGGCGGGTGAGTGATACGTAGCGCGCGATACCGCACCCGAAATCATTCTACCCCGTAGCACCGCCCTCATTATGATACCAAAACCATGACACCGATTCACCTGTCCGAACTCAAACTTGCCACCATGGCATGCCGATGTGACGTCGGCAGCGCCGACTATCGGTTCAAGGCCGCCGCATGCCCCACTGGATACTGGCCGCGTCAGGCTAGTCCACCGTCCATTGTCACCACAACTTCTTTGATACATGGATCGCCTAACTCTTCGCGAACGTGTTCAACGGTCTTTCCTGCTGCTGCGGACAAATGGGGCACGAACTGCGGTGGACTGTCGTGCTGCGCCGCACCTGGCCGTGTGGGCCATCGAGAAGGATCGGTAAACGCTGAGCGAGAAGACTGTGCCGCCATCGTAACAATGTTGACGAAGTTGCGAGGTCGTAACGTTGCTTTTACGAATCGAAGCAGTCCTGCCTCGCGGTGTGGCGGCTGGTTTGAGCGGCACCTTCCACGTTTGCTTTCGTTGTGACACGCATGTCAAGTTGTGCCAGTCCTTTTCCAAAACGTGGAAGTCGAGTCGAATGCCATTTAGGAGCATCGTTGCTCACGAGCCGCCTCGGTACCGATTGCTGGTTGAAACCAGTCGCAGTCTGCTCACGATGACAACAGCACTGCCAGGTCATGCAATAGCCGCCCTTGGCTGGACATGGCCATCGTCAACACGTTGGGGAACACATGCTCCATTGTGATAAATCGTTTTATTCAGTAGCGGGACGGCTGGTCTCTAATCGGGCCATGGCAGGAATCTCTCCAGAGGACTGGACGCGGCTATGGGCGAGGATCGTGTTTGTGACCGTGAGACTGCCCAGTACAGCATGGAACGCTTGGGTCAGGTCGATGTGGCCCGTGACGACCTGTATCCGATGGCATGACGTGTCCATGATGTAGTCGACTTGCAACGGCGCGGCTAGCACGATCCCGATGACTTGCTGGACGAGGGCTTCGTTGGCGAGGATGTGAGGGAAGAGTTGCTCGATCGTGCTCCGCGACACGTGGAGGTGGATCGTGCCGTGTGTGCGAACGATGCATGTCGGTTCGCAGTGCACAACGTCGATCGAGTGTAAATCGCGGTGGATGTTATGGAACAACGACACCCATCGCTTCCACTGCGTGAGGATGCCAGTGGGACCGACGCCGTGGTTCCAAACCGCCACATCCTGGCACATGACGGCGTGGCACATGGCGGTTTGCTTGGCGGCAAGGAGTGGGTCGTGGATCGCGTAGCCTTGGCGAAACATCAACCAGTACTCTTTGCACAGTCGGGTCGCGGTGTCGGACCGCCACTGGGGAAACCGAAGCAGCGTCGCGCGAAGCGTCTCGACTTGGCCTTCCAGCTGGGCCGTGGTCCGCGTCAACGCTCGGACTTCGCATTCCAGGCAATCCATGGCGTCGTTCGACGGCGCAGACGGTGGTGATTTCTTTTCATGCGCCATGCGACGCGGCCGCCGCGGGGGTGCCATCCGCGTCGTCTAGTCCCCACGATGTCAAGTTTCGCATCCGCTAGCACCACCACACTACCAAGTCTGTCCTATTTTAATTCGACATTTTTCAAAATATCTAGATTTTGTACGAACCCGAATTAAATATTGCCTCGATCCCAAACCCGAAATACCACGACCAATGAAACGTCACCATTCTGACTTGACTTGGGTATGCCAGTCTGACGAAACACGAGGCACAGGCGAATTTGGCACGCCGCCGCCCTCCTGACGCATCTCGGAAGCGGGGACAAAGGATGGCCGTGTATGGATGGATGGGCGAGTCGCATACTCGAGATCGTGGAGCGCAAAAATCCGAGGTCGAAGAACGGGACTGTCGGGAGCGCTTGGCGTGGTTCGCAATCATAGTTGACAGAACATCGCCACAGATGGTCCTACGGCGGGGGGGGGGTGAGATGTACCCTTCATGTCGGCGAACTGCTGCTCGCGCTGGGGCTGGTGACATGAGTTTGGATATCGTTCAGCTTTTATGCATCACCTTGATTGTTTCGCTCACACATGAGCTGGAAGTGGGGCGGACAGCGACTTTTGACGGTTGTGTTGTGCAAATGCTACATGCTCCTGAGTACTTCGTGACTTGGATTTCGTCGAAGTCACGAAGCACTGGGGCCGGCAGCATCCGTCGGCGCGCCGAGTAAACGAGTTGCAACTGGCGAATTCGTCGCGAAATGCAACGGGCGGGATCGTGGACACGATGGATGCTGCCGCAACGATTTTGAAAACCCCAAACGTTCGGCATGCATCACACAATTTCAGCGCTGCCCTGCTTTCATGCGGACTTCCGTCGCTCGTAACCATGCCGATACTTGTCCATCCGTTCGCGACGCTGCTGACGCATGCCCACAAGCCGCACAGTCGTTCCAGTCCGTGTTCATCCAAGGTTGCGTTCACCTTGAGCATTTGTACAAGAGCATGCGCATCGCGTGATTTTGACGTCAAAAGTTAAACTTGGGGAATAGGTGGCCTCTCAGTGGTTTCGTCATATGTATGAATACAATCAAATATCGCAATATATCGACCGATTCAGCATTATTCCGAATTATGTCGTCTTCGTTTGTTACTGAACCACAGGCATCGTAAACAGCGTGTGGGAATCGGTCAAAAATATCCTGACAGTCCGAATTAAAATGAACCGATATGTTCACGCCTAGAAGCAATATCGTTGGAAAAAATTATAACATTGTGGAAACCCCTTATTTTCTGACTGATTGTAGGATAGAAATGAAATAGCGTAAAATGCCAATTTTTGAGGAATTATCCCGCGTTTCTATACTAAAGAAATGTTCTGCGTTTCTACGAGATGCTGAAATGTGATTTTTCATGCACATCTAATTTTCGTGTGTCTGTTCATATTTACCAAGTTATCTAACACAAAGTATAATGCACTGCATACTTTTTGTGAATAAAGGGTATATCAATTCGAGACGAACAACATAGTGGTTGAAAAGGATATTTTTCTGGAAGTCTTCTTCACAGAATTTGCTGCAGTACTCCCATTTGGAATCTCAACAGGTGTTGACAGTATGACCGCCACCAATGTACTCGGCACGAGGTGAATCCTCAACTCCTTGAGCTCCATCCAGGACCACATGGGTTGCCGACGCGAGCTTGTCGCTTGTGTATCTGTCTCTAGGGCGAGGAGGCATGTCAAGCGCGAGTGCAACATTCAAAATAATCATATTCTTCCGCCAATGTTGCTGCAACTGTAATTGGCTACTTGTCGATCCTCTTACACTATTGGCACATTACGTTGCTGATAATATTCAGTTTTTGCAATTCAAAAATGCGCAAAAACAGAGGACATGGCAACAATTCGATAACAAATACGGTGTGAACCAATCACCACCGCGAAGGCAATCGTTCGAACGTACGACGCAGTACAACTACTGATCGAATTCTTACGTAGTACAGAATTACTTACTACGACATAGGTTGGTTAAAGTGACGAGGCGGGATTGTGTGGGGCATTCCCTGCATTAACGCCAACGTCGTCAAAATTCGACACGTTTCGTGACACTGCGTTCATTCATGGAGCACTGTCGATGAACGCAGTCTTGTTTAGCACGAAGCTTGACCAGAGAGCAAGTTTTGGCTCATAGTTACGTTGAACTTCGCTTCGTTAGGTTGGTTTGACATCACGTACATCATGTAGCGGTGTACAGGCATGCGACCGTGGGTATGCAATTATGCCACTCACGTGACAGTTTTTAGCGAACAAAGTGTCGTGTAGCTTTTGCTCCGATTGAAAAAGTGACACTGCACGGCCATGTTTAGGGAACTCCGCCCCACGGACGGCCAAATTCCGTTCAGTGCACGGGCGAGCGAGCTCCATGCTACGCTGACCAACCGATTGTCTGACACACTTGAGTCCAAATGATTTTTGTCTTGTTCTCAAACGTGAACGATCCGCACAGTGGGGTCATCCTTGAGGCTGTCATCACTTTGGCACCAATTGTATGGTTGGTAGGCGTTGCCCTGTGAAATTCAATATATTTGTTCTTCGTCGAATTGTCATTGGTTAATGCAGTAGTCGTCCACAAATTTGGCTAAATCGCGGAATTTGTCGGATTTGGAAAATCTCGTGGGCATGCCAGGTAAACACTGTAGTGACCTGCCTCACGTGGCAAAAGCACTTCATACCTTCCATGGACGGCCAAACGGGACGCTGTTCTTGCGGCGGGGAAGAAGTGTGGTCCTGGGTTTGGCCAGCAATTTTGCACCAATGTTTAAGTTTCGGCATTCGACATCACGTATTTGGATAAAAAATTTCGTGTTTCTGCCAATTCAAGCACGGGGTGCGGCAGCACGGATGGCAAGGCGCGACTAACGTTCAACCAACCAGCGAAATCATCCCGGAGTGGGGGCGGTCGTTGCCGTCATGAGCGTTTGGGGGCGCGGCCACCCGAAACATCTCTCTACGACGTGTTAGAGGGTGTGACGTTTTCAACGTTGTCGTTCTTGGTTGTGTTGGCCAGTCGTTCATCTCTACTGTGGCCAAAACCAGTGTAAATCTGACTTTACACAGAGGTATTCCGTTGTTGTGAGTGAGTTCTCTTTGCGACAAAGACGTTGCAGGTCCTAGAGAATCGCACGTTCGGCCATGCGATGTCGGAAGTAACCGGCAACGTCCCAAAAGCACTTGACGCAGTCCGCAGGTGCATTCCTTGCGTGGGGAGTGTACTGCATCCTGATGGATTTGCCCCGTTGTCGACGGTTGTTGGCCATGGACGATCCGGAGCTCGAGAGTCCCTGTCTACAGGAATTTCTCCGCGACACAAAATCACATCACGAGCTCACATAAACACGCAATTTGCAGGCGGGAGAGATTGGTATACAAACGTCAAGATAAACCCCTGGGGCGTCGACAACGTCACGGGTCGAATGAGCACGAAGAAGACGAGCGAGTGGCGGCTCGAGCAGTGCCGCACCAACCAACGGCGGTATCGGCGGCAGGCGCAGGAGGGGATGCGCTCCCTTGAGGAGCAAGTCGCGATGTTGACGGTTGAAACGGCGCGGTTGGAAGGAAACCTGACGATTCTTCGGTCGACCACGCTCCTCGCATCCGCCGGCGCCAAGTTGATCGCGCACTACTTGGACGTCTTTCGACATGGATTGGTCGCGCACAACGAAGCCACACAAGTCCACCTCGTTCGTAGCATCGTCGCGACCGATGCGATCGTGACCGGAGTCCAGGGCGGCGCCGATGCGGTCCTGGAGGGTTGGCGCCAGTACTCGCGAGCATTTCCCGCCATGGAGCTTGTTCAGTCCCACATGGATGTCCTTCATCTCGACTCGTCACAGCTCGTCCACTGCTTCGGTCACATCGAGTGTCGAATATCCCGGCAGACATTGGAGACGATCTATCCACACCTTCTACAGCAAGATCAAGACCTCGCATGTAGACTTCTTGGGCAAGTTCTCAAGGTACGACAATCTGCTCCACGTTCGTGGTTGAATGCGGCATAAGACTGGCGCGCAGATTCCTGTCACAAGGCAGTACTCCATCGACAACGACACAAACCAAGTCACGGAGGAGCTTGTGATTGCCAATTTCATGCGAGGGCTCATTGACTTGCTTCAGTCGACAGAAGATGCGATGCGAGTCATGGCCGGGGCCAAGATCGACATGTGGGGCAAGCTGCAACCAAACGACTTGTCCTAGGTGATGCATTCCGTTTGGACGGAGGATTGATGTGTGCCCCGTTGATGCCGCACCTGGCTGTCCTAGACATTGCTATGATCAATGGCGCATGAGATGCAAGTGGCTCGGTAGCAACCTGGAAGACTGGGGTGCGGGGCATGCTTCACAGAGTCGACCACGACTCTGGCGGGTCTACAGGAGGCTCTCCGTCTGACGAGAACCAAAGACAGTTGGTTCATGCAAGGGTCCAAACGACCACGTAATTTAATCCAGGACTTCAATGGCATGCTATCGCCTCCCGTTGCCTGGCGCATATATCATGACCTTCCACACAGCGGCAGCGGCAGAGCCTCGGCGTCGGATGTCGCCACCTGCGTCGGTGTTGCCAAGATGGCGAGTGTTTCGGATATTTTCCGGATGATCAATATTACCAGTATTCTCAATCCAGGATATTTTTCAATTGAACAATATCTTGGGTGAGAAATATTCGAACGCCTTGTTAACAAAAAATGTATCAGAGCAAACATGACGTACTTGGTATGCCCTACTTTATGGGAAATACTGCCATTCTCCAATCCATTGAAATGCACCGCTGCGCTCGTGTCGTTCGAGGGCGGCCGGCCGCCGCGCTCCGCACAACCCACTCGTTATCTGCCAAAACTTTGCAAGACGAGACGATTATGGATCGACTGGTATGTCCAATATCCAAGCTTGCGCTCGAGTACCTTCCCGCACACGGCGTGTTATTCTGTCGCGAAATTCGTGTCGCTTACCCCATCCGGTACGGCATTCCCATCTTGGTGCCGACAGAAGGCCGCATTGTCCCTGACGACGAGGAGTTATAAGCAACAAAGGCAGTACTGTATGCGAGCAACACTTTGTCTTCGTTAATACTTTTTCCGCACGTCGCGGATTGGGTTCCGACGAGCTGGGAGACTATGTGGCTCCTTAGCTTGATGAGGTTTTCTCGCAGGCGTGTCCAAGGCATGGCCAGAAACATGGGGTACTGCAGGCTGCGACAGCCCCACCGGTTCACCTGCCTCGTGCTGGCGCTTGGACGGTGCATTCGACGCGCTGTGGGGGCCAGGCGTGAGATCTGTCGACAGCCATTGGTACGGAGGCACGTCGGCTGACTCCTGCAACGTCGTCGAAATGGCACGGTCGTTGCTGTTTCCACGGGACGATAGTCCGGCCTTCTTAGGGGATACGATCCCCGCCGTCGCCACCGGTTTCTTCAAATTCAACGTGAATGCCGCCGCCGCTTCAGTCATCGAGGACTTGCTCGGCAACGGGTTGTACAACAGCTCGTATTGATCTGCGATGGCATACGTCAGGACGGCGAACAACGACAGAATGCCACGTACGTTTAGTGGGCTTGGGCCACGCTGCCTTGGCCGTGTGATGATGCGAATGCTGTGGGCGATCTTGTCTAGGACGAGGCGCGTTGTCGGAATTCGTCAGCGCGGGCTGCTCCAAGCGAGACGAAACCGCGACTTCTGGGGCGTTTGGAGCTACCGCGCGCAGCAACAGACTATGGTACTGGCGGGTCCACTCGTGGTCGTCCTTTGCACTTGAGTTTACCAACTCGTCGGCATCGCGAAACTCCCCACTACAGTGGACAACGCTCAGCCGTGCGTTCTGGTCAGCCATCAGCGCATTCAATCCCATCGGCCACACCCACGTGCCGACGAGGCGTGTCGCCCATCTCGCCCACGACCGCAGCATCTCCAACATTTTAAGACACACGATTCATTCAAGAACCCACCCGACGAGTCGAAGCTGTATAAAAGAATGGAAAACGACATACATTCCGATCGTCGGCACAATAAAAGACGCCACAACCACTCTTTACACATACCGCACGAGGTGGAGCAGCGCTTGGTCGTTGGCCGAGATGCGCTGCGACTTCCACATCGCCATTTCCGCAGGCGTCCACGTCATCTTCAGGAGGACGTCGCGGACGTTGCCGCGGGCCTGATGGTACTCGACAAGCCGCGCCATCGTCGTCTCAATGTACTGAGGGGCGCGGCGGGCGAGCAACCAGGCGACCTCCCACGCGTCGAGGCGGAGGCAAATGTCCAACATGAGCAACAGCAGCGTCAAATCTTCGGTCTCTCTGGCGAGTGAAACTTGGCACGTCGTGGCGATGGTGTGGGCGAGCTGGGGTTCACTCAATTGCAGCAATATTTCCAGGATAGCGACGACGACATGTCCATCCAAAAACTCTGGGGGACTTTGCGAGAGGACGTTGCATGCGTGTTGTAGCAACCCGCGGTGGAGAGAGGAAGTAGCATGGTCGACGGTCCACAGAGCCAAGACGTGCGTGGCGTGTGACCGGGGCAAGTGCAGGACAGTCGCTGCTTCCATTGCGATGGCATGCACACCGGCCCACGACACGTTCGACGTTGTTGCGCGGACGTCGTGGGTGTAAAGCGTCAGGAAGAGCATGATCGCGCTCGTCGTATGCGCATCCACGGATTGAAAATGGGCCAAGAGCGCAGTAACCTCGACAGGCAATGGCAGCAGATCCACGAGTCCAGCGCTAGAAAGGATCGCGTGGAGCATTTTCGAGGTCGATGGAAACGACAGCGTCGACGATTGAAAACGGGACATCAACCACAGATTGAACTCCACCATTCGCTCGACCGACGTGATTTCATCTTGCAGAGACACCAAGTACTCCAACGAGCCGTCGGTGGATGGATTCCATGAAGCTGCATCGTTGGACACTGGAAACGATGTGGTGGGAAGAGCGGCCTGCTGCCCCCGTTGCAGACGCTCGATGAGCGCTTGGACAACATGCCGGAGCCCTCGAACCTGTCGTAGAGTGGCGTGCAGGTCCTCTGGGGACGTCGCATGGACGGCAGTGGCCTGTGCGCGATCGACGTGGGAACGAACCCACGTTTGCACCGCAACAGGTTCCTGCAAAAGGAACGTCGGCTTGTTGTCGTCCTGGAGCGCCAATACGTACAGAGCAATGACGCTGCTGAGTCCATGGGCCAAAGCAACTTCGAACAGAGCTTCTCGTTGATGCAACCGAGACGTGGACGTGGACGAGACGTCGATGCCTGATCGACGCAAGATTCCCGACGACCGAAAGTCCGCGTACACGGCCTCGGGGTGGTGGAAGGCCTGATACCCTTGCTCTGTGAATACCTCCAGAATCTAGCAAACACATAGGCGCATGAGACTTCCTCGGCCACCGATTCGTCCGTACCGGCAGCGCCATCGTGGTTGATTTCGCTCGTCCAAAGGTTTCAAGGCAAGGACGATACCTCCTAAATTAAATACAAGAAATACTGTGAGATATTATATGGTCCAGTTTGGCCACAACAACTATGGTTTGGCCAGGCATGGCCAGAATATTCACGCGACGAGCTTTTCCACGGACGCGAGAGAGGCCCGTGTATGTGCATCGTGCCGTGCTCGCTGGATGCCCCTTGTTCAACCATTGCTCGAAAAACAAGGAGCGGTATTTCGCCGCAGCTCGAATCCACACTGTTTTGTTTCATTCGACGTGGTCGAGTCGTCGTGCCCTCATGAGTAAAGAACGCAATGGAAGGGATGAGCGCAAGCAAACGGGTTTGACATGAATGAGCCATGTGTCGGCGAAGCTAAAGGCCCGCAAAACGATCGACGGGTCAAGGCAAAATTAACCAAAGACCCGACCAAGGTCCCCACAGTCGTCGGCCAACCAACACGCCGTTTTCGTTGACGCCCCGCGTTTGGACGCAGCAACGAGTACACGAACACGGTAATGTACTCCAGTATCGTTTCGCCTTCGCACCGGTCGACAGGCCCCACGATGAGTACCCAACTTGGATCGCTTCTGCGCATGCGGTCTTTGTAGCGCGCGAACCCGCGTCCATCAGCGGCCACCATCGTCATCATGGCCACGGATTTCAGCATTTACAAGACGTGGCGCTCGAAGTCATCATGGGTTCGCTCGAACTCTGCCACTTACGCGTTGGCTTCGAACACCCGCGCTGGCATGCCTGCTTTGTCGGCTTCGTCGACGAAATTGACGTCGCTCGTGGCTCTGCATACGTAATCGAACGTTGTCTTGCCAACTCCGTCCATTGAACGCTTCGGTCGAGTCGTCCACAAATTGAACTAAGTCAATCCGAACTCGCGCGAAGTCGAGATTCTCCAACGTCCAAAATGTCCCCTCGGCACCATCGTCGCGGGCTCTTCAGACTTCCACGTCGTCGTCGCAGCACCGGACAATTCCGCACTTTGCGCGCGCGCTGCTGCTTCAACTTCGCGCAATCGACGCTGCTTTTCTTGAGCAGCCCGCTCCGCCTCTTCAGCCTTGCGCGCTGCTTCTTCTTCGCGGCGTTCACGCAGCAATTTCTCAGCGGCCTCGGAGATCTCGTCCGCCTTGCGCTTTTTTTCACCCTCCCCCCCGACAATGTTGATGGACGAACCCATCAAGTCACACGCGTCTATCACAACCTCTCCAT